AAAGGCCCAGTATTAATATCTATCTGGAGACTGCTGCAAACAAACAGCTCTTTAGTTCTTGGTAGGAACAGAGAATATTGGGCCAGATTTCTGGCCCTTAAGAAATGTGGCGTCTGATTCCATTTGGCAGGAAGTTTAATTTGGTGTGGAATTTTAGCCAGACTTCTTGGAGAAATACTGGTATATATTTTAAACGTATCGCATCCAAAACTTATTGCAGAAAGTGATGTCCATTTAGTCTACCAACTCTATTAATAGTCACTTAAATACTTTATATATATTCACAGTGCTATTTTCAGTAGTAAATACTTTTAGTTCCTGAATTTTTACATTTAAAATTTTTATGTAAAATTGGAGGACATTCATTGTAGTCTGCTGTTTATTTAAATTGCAGTCAGAGAAGCAGTACATACTATAGTTTTCTAACCAACTACGAAGTAGGTTATTGTATAATTCACCTTTTAGGATGTGGCACCTTCTGTAGTGTGCCGAACATTAGGTTCAAGATTAAACGTCTCATTAGAACTTAAATAGGTGGAAAAGAAGTTCAGGCATAAAGACACAGCAGTGTAAGAGAAAGGTTGACTTAGGTGTCCTGAAAGGTGACTTCATCTTGGCAAAAAGGGTAGAATGTGATAACAGTTCACAAATATTTAAGAAATGGAAAGACTGCCCTGACTGGTGTGGCTCAATTGGTGTGTGGCTGGTGTGGCTGTTCGATTCCTGGGTCAGGGCACGTGCCTCGGTTGCAGGTTCAGTCCTTGCTTGTGGTACGTATGAGAGGCAAGCAATTGATGTTTCTGTCTTTCTTCTTCCCCACTCTCTAAAAATAAATAAATAAATAAATAAAATGTTTTTAAAAAAGAAATGGAAAGACCAAAAAAGGGAAAGAACTTTTTCTTTGTTATTAGAAGTAATGGAAAGAAATATAGCAAGGGGGATTTCAGACTGAAAATCAGGTGAACTCTTTCACAGTAAAAATTGGTCATGAGTGGACTGAAATCTCCAACCACAGAGATGTTCCTAAACCAAATTGACATTTCATTGTGAAAGATGTATCTTAACAGTGGCTGAGAGTGCATCTGAATGGGAGAAAATATTTCATCGACAGTCACTCTTTTGAGGATTTCTCCCTTTTTTATTTACAAAACTTTTTTTCTTCTATGGGCCAGAAAGAAGACTTGATCCTTCCTATACTTCTTGGTTCATACCCTGACTTGTTCCATGACTTACTTGATACCTTTGGTAGAAACAAAGGAGAATTCAAAAGCTTTTATGTTTTCACAATGTGAAAGCAGATGATTTCCTTTTATTTGTTTTTGTCTTTTTTTAGTCCATTTTTAAATTATCTTCAGGTAGAATTTTGGGCCACAAAATGGTAGCTGCAGTGTAGGATCCAACTCTCATTGGTGTGGGACCTTGAAGACCAAATGTAAATTGTGGCTCAAGTACTTGTTAGCTGGTCATCTGAACAAGTTGCTTATCCTCCCTGATCATCAGATTCCTAAAATAAGGAGACAATAATACTGTCATGCTTATTGTGAAGATTAAGTAAAGGGATGTGTGGGAAAAATGCTGTTGTACCATGTGTCAGTTTTAGTTACTAGTACGTTTGCATTAGTTTTCTACTGCTGCTATAACATTACCACAAACTTAGTGGCTTAACTTGGCACACATTTATCTCATAGTTCTGTAGTTGGCAGAAGTCTGGGTGGGTTCGACTGGTTTCTCAGCTCCAGGTCTCATGAGGCCAAAGTCAAGGTGTTGGCTGCCTGGGACTTGGACCTGGGAGCCATGGGGGAGAATCTGCTCCATGCTTATTCAGGATGTTGGCAGAATTCAGTTCCACGCTGTGTGGGACTGAAGTTCCCATATCCTTGCTGGCAGCCTGTGGTTGTTCTCAGCTTCTAGAGGCTGCCTTCATCTTCAAAGCTAGTTGAGTCCTCACATTTCAAATTTCTCTGATGTCACCTTCTGCCTCACCTCTCCTACCTCCAGCCAGATAAACTTCTGTTTTTAAGAACTTGTGTGATTAGGTTAGGCCCACCAGGGTAATCGCCACATTGGAAGGTCCATAGCCTTAACTACATCTGCGAAGTCCCTTTGGCCATGTAGTGTGACATACTCACAGGCTCTACAGAGAAGAGTATGGACACCTTTGGAGGTTCATTCTGCCAACTACAGTGATGGTGTTTCAGGGCTAGAAAGGGACCTTGCAGGGGATATGATAAGGTTCTTGCTGAGGAGGTTTTAACAATCCAGTGGGGGACAGCGATGAAAACATGATATATGGCAGAAAAAGTCCTGCAGTAGTTTGTATGGGATGTTATAGGAGCCCAGACAACTTTCCATACCTGACTTGACCTGTGGGTTTTCCCTTATGCCCTGCTTCTTCTATAATGTCTTTCATCAAGATCCTTCGGATGGAATCTGTATACACAAAACATTATGTGATTTGTTTTCTACATACCCAGAAAATCACGCTGCTGCCATACTTCAGTATTTGGGACTCTGCTACTTAATAAGGAAGGGTTTTGAGTCCACTGATGATGAAGTGTAGCACCTCATCTCCCCTTATCTTGTTCCTTATATCCCCTTTTTCCTCACCAGACTCCCCTGAAAGCCTTCTTGTCCTTCACCTTTAGCTCTCTCTAGCCATATGCATATCTAGCCTCTTGAGTGTTCTTGTTTCTTATTGTTTTGAATGAGAAGGCACTGATCCTGGGCAATGCAGAGGTTTCTGTATAATCCTCTCCACTTGCCATTTATATTTTAATGTTTCTTGGATGTTTAGTCAGGTCTCAGTAATAGTTTGTAACAATAGCAGCCAGCTTTTTTGACTACTTACCATGTGCCAGGTGCTGTGCAGAGTCCTATACTTCCATTTTCTTATTAATTTAGACATTCTGTAAAGTATAGGCACTATTTTTATCTTCCTTTGAATCCAGCTTGGATTTGAACCCAAGTCTGTAAGTCCAAAGCTGGAACCTGACACCATACACTTAAACAGGCTGAAGCTGAGGGGCAGCGTGAAGCAGCCAAAGCAGCACAAGCAGATTCAGGAAACCTACTTTTCAAACTCAATTCTGTCTTTATGGCCCTTCTGAAAGTTAGAGGATTTGCTTCTAGAACACCATGATTTCCTCCAGTTTCCCACCTGAGACACTCAAAGAGATTCCTCCATATTACACTTCAGACAAATGAGTTTAGCTTGTGTCTGTCTGTAGCAGCGGACAGCCACGGAGCAGGTGTGGGCATGCACGGACCTGGCATTCCACAGAGGGGCCTAGTCCTTGGGGTCCGGGAGGGGGGGCCGGATATGTGGGTGCCCTCTGGCTGGCCTCAGCAGTCATCGGAAACAATACCTATGCCCACAGGGCTAGGGTGATTAAAATATTTAAGAACTTAACACAGTGCCTGACACTTAGTAGGCCCTCAGTATGTGCTGTTTCTCATTGTCCTAGAAGGTTTTCTTTAGTTCATGGGTATTCAAGTATCTTGTTCTAACTCTACTTGACTCTAAGCTCAATGTTGAGAAGACACGAGATACGTCTGCATGTTGGCCCGTGTCCAACTGGTGAATCATACCAACGCTTAGACGTTTGAGCTTAGAGAGAATTAGAATATGAGACCAAAGAAGGCAAAATATTTCCCCTTCCCTTTCTTGCTAAATTCCTGAGTTTTTGAAATTATGGAAAGGGAAAGTCCTGGGTTCAAATCCAGTCTCTGCACTGGCCTGCTCAAGTCACCTGCCTGTTTCCATCATGGAAAGAACTTAGGCTGTGGGGAAGGGTAAACCTGGCCATTTTGCTCACTCAATCATACTATTTCTAAGGCTGTCTCCTTATCCTTGAATGGGGGCAACAGCAATTCTTCTCTTGCAGGGCTGTGAAAATTAGAGAATAATCCATGTGGCACAATCAGGTGTGGCAGCAGAAGCCAGTGAAAGGTCTGGAGCTTTTATATGAGCCATTCATTCATTCATTCATTCATGGTTTTGGCAATTTAAGTTGAGCAAGAAGTCCCAAGTTTAAGTTATTTCTCCTTCTCCCTATCCAGTAGGAGGGCAAGGTAGCTCTGGGCCTGACCACACGGCCAGAGCAGGTATAAGAGGAGAGCCTTGTTGGGCAGTGGAGGTGCCAAGTACCACCTAAACCCAGCCCTACCTCCTTCAACTGCTGCCAAAGCCCCTGGCACCAACCCGTGTTGCTTCAGCTGCTAGTAGTTAATGCTCCTTGACTTGGACAGGTTTTCAGCTCCCGGGAGCAACATGGTGAGGGCTCACCCCCCTCGTCTCCCTGTGACTGGGATCCACACGCACCCTGCTCCCTACCCAATTTACCTTCCTTTAAGTCTCACCAGGCTGCGAGCCCAGGGCCAACGTGGGGGTGAGGAGCGTGGGGAGGGCGGGGAGCTTTTCCGGGAAGGGACCCAGCGGGGTCTTGGCTGGCTGCCCTATTAGCCACGGCCCAGGACCCCAGGGTGGGAGAGTGAACAGAAAGGTACTCGCGCCTGGAGCAGTTGCAAAATCTGTCATGAGGAAGAAACTGATCTCAAAGGCACTTGGTGGAAGCGGCCTTCTCCCCGACCCTCATTCAGGTGCTGGGGCCTAAAAGGGGTCCAGTTCCACTGCGGAAGCCTGGGAGCTAGAAAGCGTTGCGGGCTAGACACCCCGCCTTTCCAGCCTCTTGGTGGGTGGGTGGGGTGGGGAGTGGTTCGGAGGCCCCGCCAGGGCCGGGACCGGGAGAGGGGTCGGTCCGGCGGCACAGCCTTCCCGGGAAGTGGGGCCCGGCCAAGTCCAAAGTGGGGAAGGGGCAGGCCTCCCCGCCCCGCGCCTGCGGGGACCCTCGGCCCGTGTCCGGAGGAGGCCGGCGTCCGGCAGATGCACGCGGGGGGTGGGGGGACGGCGGCGGGGGAGAGGCGGGGAGGAGGAAACCCACAACAAAACTTGCGTCGCCGAGCGCACGGCTCGACTTGAATGGAAGGAGCCCGCGCCCGCGGAGCGCAGCGGGGACTCGGAGGAGCGCGTTCGGCCGGGGCGGCGCGGGGACGCAGCAGGTACCGGGCGCGGGCGGGCGGCCCGGTGGGCCCAGGGGTCGGGGCCAAGCCTGGGCGGCTGACTTCCCGCCAGTGCGGACCGCCAGGGTGGGACCGCCGCGTCTCGCATCTGTCCCCTTGGAGCCCTGCACCGAGGGCAGGGCGGGGAGCTCTCCCTCGGGGGTGCGACCCCTCCGCGATCGATCGGGACCTGGCAGGGCCCTTTCTCCTCTCTGGCCAGAGGCTGGTCCCAGCCCCCGGGCCCCTCCCGCTGCGCACATCTGGAAAGAATCTGAGGGCGGATGGGCGGGGGAAGTGGAAGGACGCAGGCGGGCGACCGAGAATGTGAGGGGCAGGTGGAACTGGGTAGGGGGCGTGGACCCCTGTACCTAGACCCCGGCTCAGTTAACCTGGGTCTTTCCACGCCACTCATCCCAGCTAGTTCATCCTTCGCCCTTTTTACAGACAGCACCCGAGGCCTAAAGAGGGGCAGAAACCCGCCTCTAGGACGCGCGCACAGGTGAAAAGGAGCCCGCGCGCCCACCTCCGGGACCCGCTTGGGGCTTGGTTCCCCAGCCCAGGGCTCTCAGCTGGTGGCCTGGTGTCTGTCTGTCGGTCTAAGCGGCTGGGACAGCTGGACTGAGGAGGGGGAACTCGGAGGGCGGGCAAAGGGGTCGGCGCCGTCCCGCTAATGCGGCTAAAACCCCACGTTGTAGGTCCTTGAACCACCAGCCTGGCCTGGGGTGGGGACGAGATCGCGGCGTTAGAATACCTGATGCGCGGTCAGGTGGAAGAAGAGGTGGCGTCGGCGAGCTGCTGGTGGCCTCTGGGACCGGGACTGGGGCTGGGAGGCAGCTGCAGCCCGAACATCAGGAGAGGAGCAGGGACAAGCGTGCGTGCTGCGCTGACGGTCCCTGTCTGCACAGTGGGATGCGCGCCCGGCGCTAAGAGTGCATCTCGTAACGATTAGGGCACCGGCAATGCAAGCATGAGCCCTTGGACGTAGGCCGGCCAGGGAAAGTGAAGCTGTGGTCCACCTGGCTCCAAGGACACCACTGGTGTGAACTGGGAGAGCCCTTGGGCGGTCTTGTCCCCTTTTAGGGCCCAGGGCCCAATCTACTCTAGCCTAGGGTGCAAGTTAAGAAATGTCAGCATCGCATGACTTTTCAGGAGAGCTTGTGGGAGCATACTTTGTCCCTTTTATCTGAATTTTGTGTAGGGGATGACTAATGGGCGGCACCGTTAGGCCTGGTAGAATCATACCTAAGAGCTCTAACCGTAACCCTTGACTGTAACCCTTGATGGCTCCCTGTCATCAATCAGTACTGAAACATAGTGGCTGATGCCTTGCAGATGTGAACCTCAGTCCTGTTTACCCTTCCTTAATCATACCTTCCTCTTCCCTACCCCCACCTTGTGCCTTTGCTCATGCCCTCCGCCCTGCCTGGAGTCCACCTGGAGAACTCTTACTCAGCTTTCAAGACCAGCTCAAGGCTCTGGGCAGGAGTCAGAAGACACAAATTCTAGTCCTGGTCTTGTCTTTAACATACTAATCTGTAAATAGGGAGTCAGATGAGATAATGTTGCAGATCTTTTCCAACTCTTCCTTTCACAGATTTATACCTTTGTTCAGCAAATATTTTCTGAGCCCCCACTCCACGTGGGCAGGGGTGCCGTGGGAGGCTGGAGGAGCTCCCTGACCCAGCCAAGGGGGCAGCAGCGGCTTCCCGCAGTAGGGGAGTTTGAATAGGACTTTGCTGAGGATGGGCAGCAATGGGCACCCCTTGTGCCTGAGTTTCCTTGTCTGCAAAATAGGAAGGTTAACTCTCAGTCTTGGGGTTTCTATTGGAGCCTGTAAGATGTAGTTGTCTGGGGCCTAGCGCATAGCAGGTGATCAGCAAGTCTTTACTGAATTTGAGTGGAGGAGGAAGGTGGTGCTTGGGGCTAGGGATCTCCCTCTTGATTTGAAGATTTTCCTTCACCTTCCTTCTTCTGCCTTAATCCCATACTTCAGCCCTTCAGAGCATTGAGATTTGGGGTCTAGGGCAGCAGGTCCCAGGGACTTCCTCAGTAGCAGTAACCCTATGCATGTCGGTCACACTTGCTGGGTGCCAGCATCAGCTGGGCTTGTTATTTCATTTAATCTCATGAGGCGCTCTCATCTCCATTGCCCCGACTGGTAATCAGAGGCTCAGGGCAGTGAAGGGACTCACCCAGGCTCAGGACTGAACCCCGCGTACCTCCGTCACGGAAGCTCTCCACCTGAGGACGAGAGCTCACCACAGGTGGAGCTGCCCCCCTCGCCCAGCCTGTGCTTTCCCGAAGGCGTGAGTTGTTCCGCACCAGCGGAACTCCTCGCTCTGGGGACTTCCAGACACCACGGGTCTGTTCTGTCCTTTATTCTTCCACATGCAGCTCCAACATGGCTGGGCACATAGAAGAGGCCTAGGGGGCTTATACTGCTCAACATTCTTAGAACAACAACAACAAAAATTGAGACTGTGATGGGTCAGTGAGGTAGCCAAGGGCACACAGCAAACCAGGTGGTGGAGCACTGTCCTCCCATAAGCCTGCCCATGCCGCACTCCTCTTCAACAGCTTCTCATCTCCGCAAAGATAAGGGGTACTCTCCCTCACCTGGCTTTCAAGTCCCTTCTTTGCCTGGACTTGTGGTCACTGTCCACTTGTATGACTCCCAGCCTCCAACTTCTACCACTTTAGGAGCTTTTTAGAGGTCATAACATGGGCTCTCTTGCCCCTGGACCTTCGTACAAGCTTGTAGCACCCTTTCCCTTTTGCCTGATACTCATCCTTCATGGCTAGGTGAAGCATCGCGTCTGGGAAGCCTTCTTGGCCCCAGGCAGCGTTAGGCCTCCTCTGAGTTCCTATCGACGTTAGCTTCCCTTCATCACACCCTTGATGACAGTGGGGATTATGATACTCAATTTACACATAATGTCCAATAGAAATATAATGTGATCTATGGATGCAATTTATACATAATGTCTAATAGAAATACAATGTGAGCCACAAATGCAAGTCACATATGTAATGTAAAACTTCCTAGAAGCCACAGTAAAGTAAAATGACACAGGTAAAATTAATTTTAACAAATTATTTGAATCAATAGATTCAAAATATTTTCACATAATAATATAAAATAAAAGCTATTTTATGATATCATTAATATTAAGATATTTTGCATTCTTTTTTGTACTAAGTCTTTGACACCCATGCACACCACATTTTACACTTATAGCACCTCTCAATTTAGACTAGCCACATTCCAAGTGCTCAGTAGCCACATGTGGCCACCACATCGAACAGTGCAGGTGTGAGCTTCTTAAGGGCAGGAGCCATGCCGGACTAGTCTGTCTGGGCCCTCAGTGCCCAGCTGTGTTTTGAATTAACCACAGCATCGCGGCTAAGACCTGGGCTGGGAGCTCAGCTTTGCCATTTAACAGCTGTGTTACATTGGCCAATCCTGCTGGGCCTCAGCTCCCTCATCTATAAAGTAGTGATGATAACATTTTCAGTATGGCTCATAATGTTAATATAAATTAAATATTTTTACAGATACAGTTTATAGATCTTTACAGACACAAAGCTGAAGGTGAGGGAGGAAAAATAGCTGGCCCAGTGAGTGCACAGGATATGTGGGGAGGATCCTTTTGCCTGGCCTTCTGCCCTGATTGAATCTGGGGCCTGGACCTGTGCCCATCCTCCCCCGCCCCCCAGCTCCTCGCCGCAGTCCCATTTTGCAGCCGGGTCAGACAGACTAATGCTGGTGGCTCCAGGGGCCAGAGGCTGCTGGGGGTTATAATGTGCCGTGGGAATGATGGTCTGTAGCCTGGCTGAGGATTTATTGCCCATTTGGTCAGGGGACAGAGCAAGCGGGAGTGTGTTGGGTGGGCATAGGGCCAGGCTGCAGCCGACTGATCCCTGGAGCCCAGGACTGTATGTGTTCTGTGCCAGGCCAGGGCTGGGGGCCCAAGTCTGCTTAGGTCTTGAGGACCTACAGGGCCCAGCAAGCCTGGTCGCCAACCCCCTTCTCTCTCCTCACACCTTTCAAATCTTCTGGGAGGAGGTGGACCTTGGCCTGGACCAAAAAGCACAGCAGGATCTATATAGAGAAGGGTAAGGAGCAGGGGGTCCTTCAGCTGGGAGGTGAACAAGGGCCTCGGATCAGATGTTAGTGGTGAGAAGAGCCAGCATTTACTGAGCACTTACTGTGTGCAGCACGTTCATCCCACTGACTCTGTCTTCCCGTTAGGGTGGCCCTGCTACCAGCCCAGGTAAGGTGAGAAAGCTGGGATTTAGAGGGCGACAACATTTGCCCAAAGTCGCACAACTGCTAGGAGCCAGGGCCGAGCTTGCAGCCCCGACTGTCTGGCTCCAGAGCCTGCTTCTTAACCAGACATTAGCGTCATCATCAAGCTTTCGGTTTACCCGCGCCTCCCAGGCCCACTGTCGTGTCAGGCCCTTCTAACGGCCCTGGGGCTTGTGGTCCTTGATCTAATGGGAGGCAGACAGGCTCAGGCTGAGGCGCGGTGCCCGCAGCCTGGCCACTTGCCCCGGCGCTCATTCACTGCAGCACCGAGAGCAGCGCCTCATCGCCTCACAGGTGCTGGGTGCTTTGCGGCTGCTGCCTTGCAGACTCCTCACAGAAGCTGTGAGTTCAGACAAGTACAACCTGTAAGATGAGGAAGCTGAGCCTCAGTGAGGTCAGAGCTGCTAAATGGTGGACGGGGACACAAACTGGGGTCTGTGGGACTCCACGGCCAGTGTACCTGAGCTACCGCCTGTCACAACTTATCACATCCCAGAGCAGTTTTCTGACTGAGTCCTTGAAAAGAGAACTCCTAGGACCAGCATGGCCCATGGGCTGCTGGGACCATGGAACCAGCATCTTCCTCAGTGGCCTGGAGCCATCCTCTATGCCCCCTGCCTGCTGCCCCAGGGGACCATGCGGGGATGTGGTCTCCTGCATACGGTGGCCATCGCGTGACCATAGCAAGCCCTGGTGAGGGCAGCGGAGGGTGGTACACCAGGAGTGGGATTTGGGAGGTTCTGGGGGCAGCAGCAGCTCCATTCGCTGATGCCTCCTCTGTGCCTGGCTCTGGCCGGGCCTCCAGACTCATAGCCCTGTTGTGGGAGAAAGACATCATGTCTTCACAAGCCAATTCATGCCCAGGCCTGGGGGAGCACAGGAACGGAGAGCCTGGGGGCATCTCATGGCCTTCCCAGAGACACAGTGCTGGGGTTGGTTCTTGGAGAAGTTGCTAATTGTACAAGAGAGGGGGACGGCATTCCAGGTAGAAGGAACAGGATGTGCAAAGACATGGAGGGAGGAACTATGAAAGAGACCCGTATAACTGGGGCAGGTGGTGGTGGTGGTGGGGGATTGGAAGAGAGGCAGGGCCAAGTCCTGAACACCCTAGAATGGCAAGTTGAAGAGCTGGGACGCACTGTGCTGGTCTGGCCCACCATGGCCTGTGGCAGCTGGAGGAGTGACAGGGCTCCCAGCACTGCCTGCTAGAGAGCCCAGCAAAACCCAGGCCAAGCCCTGCACGTCACAGTTCTTCCTGGGCCTCAGCTTACCTTCTGTACATAGGGGTACAGATTCTTTGGGACCGGGCTTGGTGAGGATTGTGGGAGGTTTTGCAGACCTGCCTAAAGACAGGGCTTCACTCAACGCCATCCCTCCAGAGGGCAGCCCTGACACGGCGCCTGGGGAGGGGAGAGTGGCAGTCACCAGATCAGACGCATGCTGAGGGCAGGGTCCAGGGTGGGCTCTGCCTGGGGCCCGGAAGGGCCCCATCAGGGCTCCTGTGGACCCTAGCCGTATGCCAACTGCACCTAACAAGTTAGGTCCGCCCTGGTTCTGGGGTGGGTCTGACTCGACCCCTCCTGCAGGCACCATGGCCGGGAGCAGGGCGCTGCTGCTCTTGCTGCTGTTGCCGCCACAGCTGCAGCTGGGACTGGTGTTTGCTGTGAGGGCCCCTGTGTTTGGGCGAAGTGGCACCCATGGCCTGAGTCCCGAAGAGAACGAATTTGTGGAGGAGGAGCCCGTGCTGGTCCTGAGCCCAGAGGAGCTGGGGCCTGGCCCAGCCACCATTAGCTGCCCCCGAGACTGTGCCTGCTCCCAGGAGGGTGTCGTGGACTGCGGCGGCATCGACCTGCATGAGTTCCCAGGGGACCTGCCTGAGCATACCAACCATCTGTCCCTGCAGGTGAGACCGGCACGGCACCAATGGTCACCAGGGGCTTCCCCCCGACTCATGGCTCCCGCCCCAGAACCCCAGCAGGCAGCTCCCTGCTTGCCCAGAACCGCCAGTGTTCCTGGCTCCACATGCCCAGACTTAGGGTGCTAGGGCAGGCCAGGCAAGAGCACCTGGCCCCACTCTGGCTTGTGCCCTCTGTTGTCCCAGTCACAGAGCACCATGATATAATCTTTGTTTCACTGGGAGGAGTCTGGGCTGAGGCCCAAAAGTAGCGTCAGGCCCTGTCTGAAAATGGACACGGACCTGCCCCACACCTGAACCTCAGACACCGTTACAGGCCAGGAAAACAAGAGCAAAGTGGACCCCTGATAGAGTGCTCTGGGGGCTCAGAGGACAGAGTGCTCTCTCCAGCTGAGGTATAGGAAGCGGGGCTCGGAGTTCCCAATGGGGATTCTGGGAGTGCTGGTGCACCCGCTCACCCCTGTGTGACCCAGTAACCCTGCGGGAGAGGAGGGGTCTGTCACATCCATTTCCAGAGGAGACAAGGTCCAGTGAAGAAGGTGACCTGCCCACGGTCACGCAGGCCAGTGGACCTGAGCTGGCAGTGGCGGGAGGCCAAGGCCAGGGTAGCCTCCAAGGGAAAGGGGCAAGGTGACAGCACCAATCTGTGGTTCACTCACATCTCCATTCATAAATATCTCCTGGGTACCAGCTCTCCGCCTCTGGTCCTGCGTACTGGGCACATAGGGAGGACTCGGCCATACCTGCCCTTCAGGCATCCTAGTTGTCGGGGAGACAGAGACCTGAACAAGTAGAGAGGATGACAGGGGGAGACAGAAGGACTAGTTGTGAGGCCAGGAGCGGCTCCTAATCCAGCTCCCAACCCAACCCAGGAAGGCTTCTGGAGGAGATGGGACCAGACCCAGATTTTAGAGTGTTCCAAGGGGAGTGAGAAATGCAGCGCCCTGAAAGGGAACCAGAAGGAGTTTCTGGCTTGGGTGTGGGGAGGACCAAGTGGGACATGTGGGGAGCAGGTCTGAAGGGGAGATGACCCTCCAAGTCAGAACTGCCTGCGGACACCCCTGTGTGGGCCCCTGGAATGTGGGGCCCACATGCCTGCAGTGGTCTCTGCTCTACCTCTGGCACCCAGACCCAGGCTTGGCCCAGAGCTGGCACCCGGGTCTGTCTACCATGGAGGAGAATCCCAGCTGAGGTGCCCGACGAAGGGACTGGCGCCTGACTCGGGCTGAGGGGAGGGCTGGGCCGACCGCCCCAGGCTGCTGCGTCCTCACCGCACCTGCCCCCGCCTCCCCAGAACAACCAGCTGGAGAAGATCTACCCGGAGGAGCTCTCCCGGCTGCATCGGCTGGAGACTCTGAACCTTCAGAACAACCGCCTGACTTCCCGAGGTGAGGGGCCATCCAGGGCCCAGGACGTGGCCGCCAGGAGGGGGACTGGGTGCCCCTGGGGGGAGCCCCACCCTGCAGCCCCCAGGATGTGGAATAAAAGCAGGTCTGGGCCAGGCTGGCACAGGGTCCTGGGTGTTGACTAGAAGCCACCACTGGGTGTCTCTGAGACCTGGGAGTGGACTTGAGGGAGAGGCTTCAAAAACCTTTGTCATATAGACTCTTCAGTTCACAGAAGGTCTTTAGAATCAAAGAGTTGTGTGGTCCTCAAATTTTAAAATGTGGGGGTTTTTGTTCCTGATGATGAAAATCATTTTGATTATAATAGAAAATTTGGAAATACAGAAAAAGAAAATAGAAAATAAAAAGCAGCCCATTCATAATTCTGCCACTCGGAGTTCATCATTACTTACATTTTGGTACATTTCTTTCCATTTTTAAAAAACAGCTTTATTAAGGTATAATTTGTATACATAAGACTTACCCAATTAATAGGTACAATTTGATGAGTTTTAGTAATTTATAGTTGCACAACAATCATCACAAACCAATCTAGTCTTTTTTCTTTGTGTTTTTCGTTCCTCACTGAACCTATAATATAGGTATTGTAACTATTGTAAGTGCTTTGTTCCACTCAGCAGTTAGCTCAGCAGCATTTTTCGTGTTGCTAAAACTCGCTGTGGCCATCATTCTGCGCAGCAGCAGCAGCAGGGTATTCCATGGAGGGATGTTGCACAGTTTATGTAACTGTTCCCTCTCATTAGAAAATTGGGTGAGTCCCAGCATCTGAGGGTCTGGGAGCCTGGAACCTAGTATCGCAGGCCAGCTGCAGGACTGGAGAAGGGCCAGCCTGGCCGGGATTCCAGAGACAGCCAAGTCCTGACACTAGATGGGGCAGGGGCGGGCCAGGTGGTGGGGAGGCTCAAAGGCTGAAACCATGACCTGCCATGGGGCTGCGTTTGATCCTCTGGGGCTGTACCCTCACTCCTTCCTGGCAGGGAAAACGTCAGTCTGGGTCCTCCGTCCGGTGGCCTGACCTTACGGGGACCCATTCCCACCTAGGTGTCCCTGAGCAGGTGTAGGATTAGTCATCCCTCAGTGGATATTTCCCTCCTGCTCCTCTGAGCTTGGGTTCCTGTGAGTGAGAGGCTGGGAAGGCCTGTTGGGACTGACTGGGAAGAGAGCAGAGTCGCACCTACCTCACGAGTGCCATCCTCAGTCCTAGCCAGTGGGGTGGGCTTGGGGTGGGGGCTGGTGCTGGCGTGCTCCCCTGTAGCGTCTCCTTCATCCAGGGCTCTGACCGATGCCTGTCCTTTGAAGGGCTCCCGGAGGAGGCGTTTGAGCATTTGACCAACCTCAATTACCTGTACCTGGCCAATAACAAGGTGAGGGGCCCCACAGCAGGGAGGAAGTGTGCTGACCTCGCCCCCTGGTGTCAGAGGCTGAGTTCAGTGAACTTTCAGGGCCTATCCTGGGCTGGCCATTGGGTCCTCCTTGCTGCTCAGTGATGGCCGACTCCACACCTTAATCTGAGGTATCCGACTGGTCAGTTAATGAAGACAGAGGCCAAGGCTTTCAAGAGTGTAGGGGGAGTGAAAGCTCATCTCCACTGGGCGGGGGCACTTTCAGGGCTTTGTGGAGGAGAGAGCATTTAAAGGACCATGAAAGGAGACAGGATTTCAGGCAGGGGTCTGGAGGCAGAGGACACTGCAGTAGAAGGGACATCACAAGAAAAGGCACAAAGACACTCAACATCAAAATATTTGGTGTGCCCCAGAGCGCCATCCTGGCCCCTTCTCTCTGAACTCTCATAATGGCCTCATCCAGTGGCAGCCTCTAGCCCTTTCCTCGCCTACCACTTGAGATTCATAGATCCTTCTGCCTGCTGGCCGCCTCCCCTAGGGGTCTAATGGAAGTAGGACTGCTTCCCGCCCCCAGCCCAGCGCTCCTGCCAGCTCTCCATCTCTGTAAAGGGGGGTCTCCAAACCACCTATCACACCGCTGGTCTGAGTCCAAAGCCCCAGGGCTTCTCACCACGCCCAGCAGCACTGCAAGCCCCGCCCCCCGCCCTACCATCCTGCAACTGGGCAACCCCGCTTGCTCATTTCTGTCCCTTCTCAAAGCAGCCAGAATGACTTGTAAAAATTATTCCCTGCTTCTCCCCTACATACCCTCCTCCCTGCTTAAAACCCTCCAGTGGCTTTGCCTTCCGCCCAGAATGAAAGCCACACTTCCCCCTGCTTCTCCTAACTCATGGCCCTACTCACACTCTCTTGCTCCTCTCCAACCCCCAAACCCTGCAACCCCCCACCTCCCACGCTGGGTTTGTGCTTGCAGCTCCTGCTGCCTTGGATGCTCTCCTCTCAAATGGCATCTATGGTGCCGTCATGCCTTAAGTGTCTGTCACCTGTTCCCTGAGCACCCCGCCCAGTGGTTCTGTCTTCAGCCTGTTTGAATTCCCCGCATAGCGGCGATCATTATCAGATACTAATATTCCTTGTTTATTATCTTCTCCACTAGGATGTAAGCTTGGGGGGGTGGGTGGAGGACGGGGTGGGGGTGGGCAGAGGTACTTTTCTGTCTTGTTGCCCAGGACATGCCCGGTGAGCTCCTGGCACCGTGCCTGGAATGCTGTGGACTCAGGCTCTGCTGTTGAAAGAGTGGGGGGTGGACACCGCGGGCTGCGCCTGGGAAAGCATGGGTGCTCCCTGCGGCTGGACAGAGAGCCAGTGTCGGTGCCCAGGGCGGGGAGACAACAAGGACAGGCCGGGCAGGGCACAGGCCTGGTGGGCTTTGAATGCCAAGCACGGGGCTGTGGGGAGCTGCAGACGTTCTAGTTTTGTGTTACCAGTGGAAGAGGACAGCAGGCAAGATGGCTGTGGCTGCCGGGAGGAGACAACTGAAGGGCCCAGGCGAGCAGTAGGCCGCGGGACCCAGAGCCGGCCTCCTCCCTCCATTGGTCTTTTTGCCCCAACTCTTCCCTTTCCAGCTGACCTTGGCACCTCGATTTCTACCAAACACCCTGATCAGTGTGGACTTCGCTGCCAACTATCTCACCAAGATCTATGGGCTCACCTTTGGCCAGAAGCCAAACCTGAGGTCAGAGGTCAGAGGGGAGCCCTGGGCTCAGGCTGGGGAAGGGGGAGGAGCTGAGCAGAGGCTGCCACCCAGAGTGAGGCAGAGAGGACCCAGACCGGCCCTGGAGGAGGGCCATGCTGTGCAGTGTGGGTGTGAGGCCCCAAGCTCAGGGCCGTGGTGGGAGATGCCCAGGGGCTGCGGGCTCCAAAGGCTGCGACCTAAAGGATGAGGAGGAATCGGTCCAGGAGACAAGGACAGAAGGTGATGTCTGTGGAATTATGGGAGATGGGTGAGGTTGCTTCCCCCCTTCCTTGGCCCCTGGGGGAAAAGCATCTTCCAGCAGGCAGGGGCGCCCTTTGCTAAGAGCTGCTTTGGGAGGAGTGAGCAGGGCATGGTAGTGCTGGAGGAGCTGCCCCCCCGCCCCCCACCCCGGTGCCGCTTCTGTACCTGAATCTGTCATCTCGGTCAATTCCCTCCGTCCTCCTGAGGAGCCAGGGTCACTGCGTGGTCCCATCCCACACATGAGAAGGCTGAGGCCCAAGAAAGGCACACAGCAAGAATGAGCTATATCTTCTATGTATTTCTTTTGTTCCTGGTCTTTTGGCCCTCTAGTATGTTAGCTCCATGAGAGCCAGGTCTCGTTGGTTGTGTCCACTGCTATATCTTCAGAGTCTAGAACATTCCCTGCACGTAGGAACACTCACTGTAGGCTTGCTGAATGGGTGAGGCACTACTTACCCTGAGCCAGGCCCTGTGCTGGGCATCACGGACACTTCCCATGTTCAGGAAGTCCTGTGGGACATAGCCAGCTGCGTGGGGTTGACAACTGGAAAAATTGAGGACCTTAAAGGGTATGGAGAAGGCATGGACTGGGGATTAGGAAGTCCCATTTCTGCCACTAACTTGTGGGGTGACCTTTGGTGGGTCCTTGGTCACCTTGGCTGTCTCGGGGGGATGACATTAGGTAGAGTCCGAGCTTCCTCAGATGAGAGGAGGGTGGCCTAAGCCCCAGGCTCAACCTGAGCAAGGTTTGGCCGCTCCAGGTGAGTGGGCACTGGGGCCAGGGATCGGGGGGCCTGGGTGCGTGAGGGCCTGCACCTCATCCCCCAGGTCCGTGTACCTACACAACAACAAGTTGGCGGATGCCGGGCTGCCAGACAACATGTTCAATGGTTCCAGCAATGTCGAGATCCTTATTCTGTCCAGCAACTTTCTACGACATGTGCCCAAGCATCTGCCGCCTGCCCTCTACAAGCTGCACCTCAAGGTAGGAGGGAGAAGGCAGATGGGGCACCCCCCAGAGCAGGGACCCATAGCAGGGCAAGGGCCCAGGCCCACATGGGCACAGCGGCAAGACTGCGGGGCCTTGGGACAGCATCCACAACAGAGAAGCAGGCAGCACCTGGCTATCAGCCCCACACCTAGAGCACTCCAGGCCTGGGCCCGCTCCTCATGGCTCCCTCAGACCCCTCTCCACTCATCCTTTGGCTCTGCTCTTGCCCCTTGGCTGTCTCTCATGCTCCCCTCCCCACTGTCCCACCCCCCAGAACAACAAGCTGGAGAAGATCCCACCAGGTGCCTTCAGTGAGCTGAGCAACTTGCGGGAGCTGTACCTGCAGAACAACTACCTGACTGATGAGGGCCTGGACAACGAGACCTTCTGGTAAGCCCCTGCCGGGCCCTCGGGGGCCCGGGCACCTGGGGAGCTCCTCCCAGGGCCCGCCCAGCCAGGCCCTCTCCCACGCCTCTCGCCCGGCCGCCCTGGCCAGTTTCCCTGGAGAAGGACCTTCAAGGCTTGTGCCTCTGCTGACATTTCTGTCCCCGAGAACAAGCGATATGTATGGGTAAGGCCTGCCAAAATTCCAGTGAGGCAGGGAAGCATTTACGGAGGCTGGATTCTTGGTACAAAACAGAAACTCAAACATGTTTGTTGAAGGCAAATATATTTTCATTTTTTTAGGGCCCAGAATAGCCAAAAAAGGACTTAAACATTTGTTCTTCAAATAAACCCCTATGTGTCAGAAACCATGCTAGAGCCTTCCTATGTCAATGTCACTGAATAATCAATTCAATGAGAGGCTTGGAGAGGCTTGAGGTCCCCCAGTGAGCAAGCAGCAGAGCTGGGATGAATTAGAGGCAGCTTCCCTGCCACCTCCCTCGGGAACATGGTGGAAACAAGAGTGTGCTCCTGCTGTGTGGGCTCCTGCCAACTGTCCTAATCACCCTCGTCCCAGGAAGCTCTCCAGCCTGGAGTACCTGGATCTGTCCAGCAACAATCTGTCGCGAGTCCCAGCGGGGCTGCCACGCAGCCTGGTGCTGCTGCACCTGGAGAAGAACGCCATACGGAGCGTGGACGCGGACGTGCTAACCCCTATCCGCAGCCTCGAGTACCTGCTGCTACACAGCAATCAGCTGCGTGCGCATGGCATCCACCCGCGGGCCTTCCAGGGCCTCAAGAAACTGCACACGGTGCACCTGTACAACAATGCGCTGGAGCGCGTGCCCAGCAGCCTGCCCCGCCGCGTGCGCACTCTCATGATACTGCACAACCAGATCACCGGCATCGGCCGCGACGACTTTGCCACCACCTACTTCCTGGAGGAGCTGAACCTCAGCTACAACCGCATCACCAGTCCGCAGGTGCACCGCGACGCCTTCCGCAAGCTGCGCCTGCTGCGCTCGCTGGATTTGTCGGGCAATCGGCTGCACACACTGCCGCCAGGACTTCCCCGCAACGTGCACGTGCTGAAGGTCAAGCGCAATGAGCTGGCCGCTCTGGCACGTGGGGCGTTGGGCGGCATGGCCCAGCTGCGTGAGCTCTACCTCACCGGTAACCGGCTGCGCAGCCGGGCCCTGGGCCCCAGCACCTGGGCCGACCTCGCCCATCTGCAGGTAAAGGGGAGGACAGGGGGCTGGGCCATGAGGAGGGTACCCACTGGGGAGGCCAGGCCTTAAAGCAGCGGGGCAGGGCTGTGCAGAGAGTATGGCTGGCATGCCCGGTAAGGAGTGAAGGGCAGAGTACCGCTCGTATGGCCGGGCAGAGGTCATTTTCTGCAGGCACGGGCTTGAGGAGGGCTGTGGGGGTAAGGTGGGGTCATGGGTACAGGCACAAGCCCTTGGTTCAGGAGGACTGGGGGCAGGGAGAATGCAGGTGGCAAGAGAGTCAAGCTCACCCACCCACAGGCACAGAAGTATGTGCCCAGAGAAGGCTGCGTTGGCGGGACGGGATGGCTGCAAGGCCTGTGAGGGGTGTGCAGGGGGCTGGGGGAGCCTACTTGAGGTGATCCGGGCGGTGAGTGTGGCTGTTGTGGCCATCGTCAGAGTCAGGCAGGATGTCTGGCCATAAGAATTGAGTTTCTTACAATGAAGCCTCCCCAGTCAATGAGGGGCTGAAAGGAAACTTCATTAGAGAAACCTTGGAGGCAGGGCCGAGGTGCTGCCAGGCCCACCCGGGATCTTGGAGCCTGTGCATGATCTGACCTTTGTGCCTAGATGTCCTCAGGGCTTGCTCCTCCCTCTTCCTTAGGGATCTGCTCAAATGTCACCTCCTTGGGAGGTCTTCTCTCACCACCTACCACCGTCCTCTGCTTTGTTTTTCTTCATAAGCCTCATCCTCCTCCCCGGCATTCCATCATCCGTTTGCTTGTTTGGTGCTGGCTCTTTCCTCCAGAACAAGGACAGGCAGTTTAGTCTGTTGGGTTCACTGCTGGACCCAGGGCCCGGGCCTGGTAGGCTCACAGTCCCTGCTTGTGGGGGGAGCTGTTGGGACAGGGATGTCTGAGTGGGAGGCAGGGAGGTGAGGTGTGGCTCTGAGGATGGAGTGGGGTGGGAGCCCCGGAGGCAGCTGCCTGCAGGAGCCGCGTTAGCCGGGGTCTCTCATCCAGAGCGCCCTGCTGAGCGTCAGACACCAGGATCCAGTGACCTGTGCCAATTAATCCCTCTTAGGCACACCTCAGGAACCCCGTTCTCAAGGGGCCAAACCCCTCTGTCCTCTCCTTCACACCCGCACCTCCTACTGCATTTCTAACTCACTGAAGGGGGCAACATCCCCCCCCATTGCCCACGGGAAACCCGGAAGCTGCCCCTCGCATCCCCTTTTTATACCGCCTGCCTTGCAATGCCCCTTGGTACTACCCCCTGCCAGTTCTACCATCACATCTCAGTCTGTCCTGTTCTCTCCACCCCTGCTGTGCATACCCTCGCCAATCCACCCCCATTTCTTGCCTGGACACAACCTTCCTAGGAGCTCTCGACTCCTGTACTCCATAAGCAATCAGAGGGTGAAAAATGTACACTTGGCTTATGCTCCTGCCCGGAACACTTCCATGGTCCCCCATTGCCCTTAGAACCCGAATCAGAATCCTTGCCATGGCCTTCAAGGCTTAGTCTGCCCCTGTTCCCAGCTGAGTTTCCTATTTTCCCAGGTGCACTGGGCTCTGTTCATACTGGCCCCTCTGCTGGAAGCAAGCACCGTTTCCACCCTGGTGATACCTACTCCCTCATTCATTGCACAAGTCTATATTGAGACCCCACCATGTGCAGACAGAGTTCTAGAACTGAGGACCCAGCAAGAAATAAGATAGTTGGAGGCTTACTACCCTCCTGGAGACTGTAATAATATACCTAGGACTCAGGTGTCACCTCCTCTGGAAGCCACCGATGATGGGCAGGTTAAATACCTCCCATCTGGGTCCAGATGAGTTCAGTCAGGGAACAGGGGTCTGTTGGAGGTGGATTCTTCCTCTCACTGTCGTTCTACAAGGAGCAGCTGTTCCCGCTACTTCAGAGCCCCCACCAGCGCTGGCTGCTGTCAGTGCCCCTGACCTGATGCTGCATCAGGCTCCTCCCCCAGGGTCCCTCATGGTCGCCCCGTTCCACTGGCTGTCATTGTCAGATTCTGTGTCCAGCTCGGCTTCCTGAGGGTAGAGACAGTGTTTCAGTGGATCCCATGTCCCCAGCATCCGTGGGCACAGAGGATGTATGGAATGAGTGAGGACGTGCTGGAGCCATGTGAAGGGAACACAATGGGGAGCAGGGTGCCTGTGTGTAGAGGAGGTGACAGGGAGGCACCCTATGATGCGTGAAGCTCATTCTCCCCTTGAATGTTGAATCTGGATTCATGGTTCCCAGCTTCCTGACCCCGAGTCCGTGAGTTGGGATAAGGAAGGGAGCTTAGAGATGTTGGCGTCCCACCCAGGGCTGCACAAGTGTGTGCTGGCTGGGGCAGGCTGACAGCTGAGGGACAGTGAGCGGGGTCTGTGCATGTCCAGGTGTCCTGCCCACGGCTTGTTCCTTCTGCCTCTGGGAAAACCACCCCATTTGCCTGGTTTCCCACGTCCCGGACTGTGGGCATGCGGTGCCCCTGGGACTCACCAGTCTGGGCTCACTGTCAGCCTGCACTCTTGCTCCTGACCCCCTGCCCATGTGGCCCCCGAGGGCCACAAATAAGCAGTCCCAACCATGTGGCCCCCATCTCTGCCCTCCTCTGGGATCCATGGGGCAGGATTCACAGACTGGAGGATTCCTGGCCCCTGTCCTCTGGGGTCTTCAGTCTGGTGGGAGTGACATAAGTGTTAATGAGGAAGGACTATGGTGTCCAGACACCGTGGCTGTGAATCCGTGTGGGAAGGCAGAAGGAGCCGGGTAGAACGAGGGTTTGGAGTCAGGTGCAGCGGGTTCCAGCCTCGTACAGGCTGTGTGGCCTTGGATGGGTCTCTTGACCTCCTTGAGCCTCTGTTTCCCCATCTGGAAAACGTAGATAGTTACAGATCCCACCTCACGTGGTTATGGTGAGATTTAGATATGTTTGGGGGGCTAGTGCAGGTCTTTGCAAGTTGTTCGGTGCTTTTACTTCCCTGGTCACCCCTGCAGCTGCTGGACGTTGCTGGGAATCAGCTCACAGAGATCCCAGAGGGGCTTCCCGAGTCGCTCGAGTATCTGTACCTGCAGAACAACAAGATTAGCACCGTGCCAGCCAATGCCTTTGACTCCACTCCCAACCTCAAGGGGATCTTTCTCAGGTAGGGGATCCCTGTTGGCCCTGCTGATGCTCCCCTGGGACTTGTCCCGGCTCTAGTGCGATAGTCAAGGCACAAGGGAACAGTTCTCAGGTAGAGGTCAGATTTCAGAGCCACGTGGTGCATACGGGCATGATTGATGTTACTATGGCTAGGAGGAATCCTGGAGAGCATTGTCCCGATTTGCAGCTGAAAAAACAGGCCCGGAGAGCATAGGTGATGCTGTGTCCACAGTTGGCCAGGCTGTGCCTGGGCCTCAGACCCAGGACAGCAGATGTTCGTGTTCTCACTGGACTCTGGGGGTTTAGAATGATTCAGGGGACTCAGCTGCCCAAGGAGATGAGGAGCTTCCGTACAGCAGAGCCAGGATAGTCCTTTCTAACATCCCCACCTCCCACCCCCTCAAATCAGAGAACGAGCCATCTTAGAGAAAGGCGGAATATGCACTCTCAGGAGGCCTCAGGCTGGGCGACACTGGCGTGGAGTGTGACCTGTGCTTTGGTTCCTGCAGGGGACTGAGGCACAGAGAGTTGAGGGGGCTTGAGATCAGAGCCCGGCCTCTGTCTTCCCACCGCCTGTGCTTCCTGGCCCACCATGTGCGCCACCTCACCCCAAGCACCGGGGTGACCCTGGGCTGGCGGCCCAGAAGGCTCAAGTTCCAGAGGGCAGGCGAAAGGAGGTTCCCATGTCTGCCACTCCCAAGTCGTAGAGAGAGCTCAGGCAGCGGCAAGCCCTATCCTCACTTTGTGTCTGAGTGGCCCAGGGTCAACCCCTGGCGCCCCAGGCTGTAGCCACACTGGACAGCTTGGACTTACCTTGATACGCAGTGCCTCCCAGCCCCCTGCCTTTTGTGTTTGCTGCACCATCCTCCTGGAGGGCTTGTTCCTTCCCCCCTACTTTCTGGGGTGGGTAAGTGTGGGGGCTCTGGGTTGCTGGGCTCCTAGCACTGACCCCACGTGGGTGGCTGCACAGGTTTAACAAGCTGGCCGTGGGCTCTGTGGTGGAAAGCGCCTTCCGGAGGCTGAAGCACCTGCAGGTCTTGGACATAGAAGGCAACTTTGAGTTTGGTGACGTTTCCAAGGACCGGGGCCACTTGGAGAAGGAAGAGGAAGAGGATGAGGAGGATGAGGACGAGGAGGAAGAGGAAAGGCGATAGTGACCACGTGAACCGGATCTGACATAGGTGGGTGGTCCTTGATGGTTTCCTGTCCCTGACCAAGTCTAGGTCTTTCTGTCCATTCTTCACCCCCTGTCCCCTGCTTCACTGTTCATTTTGTGAACCAATAAGAGCATTTGGTTTGTACCAGGCCCTGGGTAGGAGGCTGGGTATCATAGCAGGTCCACAGGAGGCTGGCCTGTGCGGGGGGCTTCTCTGCAGGGTGGTGAGTGCCCTGATGGGTCACACACAGGAAGTGGACGTGGGGGCCCGGGCAGAGGCTACTGCTGTGATCCAAGCCAGGGATTATGGGGTAGGAGGTGAGGATGCAGACAAGCCAATGGCCTGAAAGGGACTGGGGAGGCAGACTTGAGTAGCCCTTCTGGACATGAGAGTGAGGGAGAGACAAGGCCCAGGTTCAAGCTTGGAATTCAGGGTAGATGAGAGGAAGAACAGGCTTGTTTAGGGGAATATTGAGTTTGAGGAGCCTGAAGGGCACTGGGGGAGGTGCCCAGGGGTGGGTTGGCTATATGGCCTGCGGTTCAGGAGTGAGGTCTGGGCTGGAGGTGAGGATCCAGGCATTATCAGCCTGAAACAGTCACTGAGGCTGCAGGAGGCTGGGGGGGCTCGCCTGGGGAGAGTGAGCGAGTGGCCACGGGGGAGGGGGCTGAGATGGAGCAGCCAGGGAAGGAGGTAGGAAAGCCCAGGTCAGAGGGTGTGTACACGTACATGTAATAGAAGCACCTGCACGTATACACAGTGCATCAGCATATACGCACCCATGCTCATGCACGCGTGTAAACATGCACACCCACCCACAGAGCATACATTTGTGGAACCCACGGCATATATGCATTTACGGATATGGAACATGTGCGCGCACACTTCCCCGTGCACATGGGCTCTTGTGTATATAGACTTGCACACACTGATGTACATGCATGCTACATGCACATACATGTTATGCACACATGCACAGTGGAGAGAATCAGCTGTGTCAGTGCTGCTGAGAGGCTGATGGAGCTCAGCACTGCCAAGGGCCCACTGCGTTTACCCACAAGGTGGTCACCCATGACCTCATGGGGAGCAGCCTCAGGACAATGGGGGTGGAGTAAGTAAGTGGCTGGGAAGGGGTGGATCCAGGGAGTGTAGACAACTCTGTCAAGAAGTTTGGCTGTGAAGAGATGAGAGAGGGTGGTAGTGGGAAGGGGTAAGGAGTTCAGGCAGGACTTAATTCATGTTGGGCCTTTTTTAACAAATGGAGCTGGTTTGAATGCTGATGGGAAAGGGTCTGTGTTGAGGGAGAAGTTAAAGATATAAGAGGGAAGAGCAGAGTATAATGGTGATCCCTGTGGAAATAGTGGGAGGGACTGGCTTTGGTAGGAGGGACAGAGGACTGAGTAGCTGCAGCCATGGGCTAGTGGCTTGGTGGCTGGACATAAAGTCATGCTAACCAGGTGCCTTCAGCCTTCTTTTTTCTGTTTGCAGCATGAGGTGCTCAGCAGTTGGGAGTGGGTGTGAAGGTGGATAATTGGATCCCTCCATGGCTGGGTTTTTGGCTACGTGTGCGGGACAGGAGGGCAAGGAACAAGGAAATGGAATGTATTGGCAAGAGACGGTCCGCAGTGGTGGATCCCCGGGGGTTAGGCTGTGAGGGGAAGGGGGTGTAGGCAGGAGGGGTTGGTAGGCAGGAGGGGGATGTCAGAGAGGGCCACGGGAGGTGCCGGTGAGTAGCCAGCTGGAGAGACTTGGTTAGAGGGATATCAGGGAGCTGGGGGCCACAGGGTCAGCGTGTGGTTGTGGGAGGCCATGGGCCCCTTTTAGGAAGCTGAATTGGAGTAGGGCCCGGGGCAGAGAGGAGCCCGAGGGGTGTGAGAACTCCATGGGTGGATGACAGAGGTGGTAGGGGCAGTGTGAGAATGGAGGGGAGGCCCAGGGGCAGTTCTCAGAAGTCACCTCCCTTTACTTTAGGGGTTCAGGGCTATGAAGGTGGACCCCCCCCCACCTCCAGGCCTTTTCCTCAGGCCAAGCCTGGGGCCAGCAGCAGGGGTGACTGGCCATACAGTGTGGATGCTATGGTCCTCACAAGGAGGCCTGTGGCATCCTGGGATGGGAGAGAGTCTTCCCCTTCTGGAAGACATTGGCCATGGTCAGGTCAGTTCAGTGGAGTCCTGGGTGAGGCCCCAAGAGTGTCCAGAGGGACACAATGGCCCTGTAATCCCCACCAGGACACCAGGTTTGGCCACATCAACATGAGCACCTCCCTGCAGGCGCCCGCTGGCTCTGGGTGCCCAGGAGCAAGTTCCCCACCTGCCCGCAGTCACCGGGTCCTCCCAGAGCATCGTCAAGTGGGCTCCCCCGCTCTGACCACCTCCCCCAGGCAGGCTGTGGCTGGCGGGTCTGCTTTGGTCTCCCTGACTCTCCCACATGTTCCATAGGATGATGGCCATCTGGACCCCTTTCTGCAGCGCGTGTCTATGCCCTGTGAGCACCGACTCTGCCACGTTCCAGACACACCCAGCACTGCACCCACCTACCCCCTAACACCTCCCGACCTCTCCCTACAGTTTGTGCCACAGCCAGACACACACAGACACCATGACACACCCACATACAGCCAGCTGCACATCGTCCTCCAAAGGGTCCCACTCTCCACCCCACCCCCACCGCCACCATCGCTCCCTCTGAATCATGCAGACTCAGGGAAGGATCTGACCTCACCCTGCCATGCATGGGCTCCCACTTCCACACACACACACACACACACACACACACACACACACACCCACCCACGAGTCATGTGCAAACAGCCCTCTTCGGCCTATGCCACCAACAGCTCTTGCCCCAGCCAGAAGTGGCCAGAACAGCTTGCTGTCTGCCTGTCCATCTGTCCGTCCGTCCTCTGGAGAAGACACAGAGTTATCTCTGAGCTCTCTGCGGCCAGGTGCCTGCTGCCCTTTGGAACTCACAAAAGCTGGCTTTTGTTCCTTTTCCCTCCCTTTGGGGACAGGAACCTTCAGGACGGCTGCCCTGGCCCCCTCGCCCTGGCCCCCAGTTGCTGGGAGAGTCAGCTCCTGCCATGCCCTGGCCGCCACAGGCATGTTTTGGATGGGCAAGGTCACAGGGAAATTCTCCGGGGCCTGCCAGGCGCCGTGGGCGGGAGGTTGACGGAGGTCGTGGGGCTGGGCTGACGGAGGAGAAGGGGCTGGCCCCACCGATGAGATACCTGTTTTATTCTTTGGGCCTGCAGGGAGTTCTGGGTGCCTTTGTTTTTCTGTTTTTTAAGAAAAAAAATGATAAAATCCTCAAAGCTGATTTTTGTTGTTATAGAAAAACTAATATAAAAGCATTAGCCCTGTCTGGCAGCCCGTGGCCGTGTCTGTGCGTGCTTCCTGCCAGGGGCTGAGCTGGTACCTGGTGGGGCGGGCAGGGCACAAGCATCTCAGCACCTGTCCAGACCAGCAGGAGTCAGTGCAGAGTTCACCGCTTGGGGCCTACAAAGTAGTCCCATAGGCAGAGGTCCAGGGACACAGGGTTAGTCACAGATGAGGAGGCCTGGAGGCACTTGTGGCCCATCCGCATGGTGGGGGTCAACAGGTCGGGTGGGACCACCACACTGGGCCTACGAGCTCACCATGTACTCCTAGGGGCTGAGCAAGCAAAGGACCTGCTGGCTTTGAGCGGCTCAGGGCTCACCTGGAAGGTCACCTGTGCACTGAGTGGGCATTCCTGATGGAGTTGGCCCCATGGAGGATGGCTGAGGTGGGAAGGGGACCTGAAGCAGGCCTGGGAACTGGAGTAGAGCCTCGGGAAGAGGGGCCGACGTGCCCAGTGTGCCTGCTACCACCAACAGGGCCAGAGCTGGGACCGGAGTATGGTGGGGACAATATCCTGCACAGAGCAAAGAAGAACCTCCGACAGGCAGAGCCCCCGGATGAGGTGCCCTGGCGGTAGTGAGCCGCTGCTGGAGGTGTGTACGTGCGCTCCTGCTGAGCCCAGTCAAAAGCAGATGCCTGCCCGGTGGGAGTGACTGTAGCTTGACACCTGACCTCTCCTAGCTGCCTGGTCTTAATGAAGGAAGGGCACTTCCATGGTGGACTCTATAGCCCAGACCTGCAGTGGAAAGGGGATCCTGGGGCCAGGGCCCTCCCTAGACTCCTCAGGCTCCTCAGACTATGGCCCTGAAAAGAGGATAGGAAGTAGTTCAGGAATCGAGGGCCGGGGGGCAGGCGCCCTCCTGATTCTGTGAGTGATGTTGGGAGGCCTCTTCTCTTCCCCTGCTTCAATGTCTTTATGGCTCCACAACGTAAGACCCCGGAGGTGTATCTTCTCTCCAGGGTGCATGCAGAACGTGCTATGTGGCCGGGTTCATCTCTGCCCCCCCTGCAAGCCTCCTGGAGGTACCTTGGGGCTGAGGAGAATAAAGGAGACAGTTTGAAACTGTCTTTGGGCATGTCCCTTCCTTAAAGGAAAGCGTTTGCCAAAGCGGTGTGACTGGCTGAGGAAATTTGTTCCATTTGTGGGGACTGATCTCAGGGCCTTGCCTGCAGAGCCCAGCCCGGGCCAGGGGCAGAGTGGTCCGTCCACACTGTGGCTGTCGAGACAGGCCCCTGGGGGCAGGCAGGCTTGCGCTCTGCCTCCTGCAGGTGACAGCTCAGACAGGCTTGTCCTCATTCTGGCCCGCCAGGCAGGCCCCTCTGGGCCCTGGCTGCTCGGGCAGGCCTGCCCACACACCGACAGCCCAGGCAGACCTGTCCATGCTCTAGCTGGAAGGGCAAGCCCGTTGATTTTTTGGCTGCCTGGCCAGGCCTGTCCATACTCTGGCTGCCCAGATTGGCCAGTCTGTACTGTGACAGCCAATATTAGCTCAATAAAGAAATGCTGGCCAGAGTATGGTTGCTAAGCCCACAAGACTTGAAAAACGAAATACCTTTGTTTAGTAATCACTGAATTTGCAAGCACAGGAAAGAATATAAAATTTAACTCCTCTTTATCCCACAGGCTTTTGGGGAGTCCTGACCCCAGAGCCACCCAGGCAGCTTGAACAATGCATCCCAGGTGAGCCTGCCCCTGGTCCTGGCTGGCCCGCCTGCCCAGTGGGAGGCTGGCCCAGTGTTTCCAAGGGCCCCTGCGGCCCTAGTAAAGATGTCCGCATCTCCACATCACGTGAGCTTTGTGAGAGAGAAGTGGTGGAGTGAGACGAGGCAGGCCGTGGCACGTGGAAGGCAGCAGGCCTTGGTCTTGGGCTGGGCCCCCACTTGGGGAGAGCTGTTTGAGGCCACATGTTACAGGGCTGGGTGGAGGGCTGGCCTGGGCGGGGACACAGAAGGGCAGGCCCAGAGCTCTGTTGTTACGGCTTCACAAACTGAAGTCCGTGGTGGCTGTGGGGCTCCAGGGCAGGGGCAGAGCCTAGAGCCTCTCTGGCCACCTGGCCCAGCAGGTGCCCCCGTCCTCTAGGAGGGAGTGGCCAGGGCTTGAAACACCTGAGTTGGCGTCCTAGCCCTGACTTGCTCTGAGACCTGGGATAAATGTTTTCAGCCTTAACTCTGTCATCTGGAAAGTATGGACCATAACCCCTGACTGCTGTCCTCACGGACCGTAACGGTGGAAAGTCACAGCCAGGGCTGGGCTGGGCTGTGCTGGGCTGTGCTGGCCCATCACTCCCCCACTGGAGTTTTCTGTCTATTCTCTGCTTTTTCTCAAGTGGAACTAATTCTGACCTCTCAAGGGAGGCTGTAAGGCTGGCCCCTATCGGCTGCTCAGGAAAGTAGTAAGTTGAGATCATACTCTTTGCCTAACCCTGGAGGCCCGCCCCCCCCCCCCCCCCCCCCAGCCTCCACAGCTCTGTAGGCTCAGACACTGGTCTCAAGCTCGCTGATTTCAATGATGCAGTGGTCCAGGCCAGTGGCAGTTGGCTCCTCATCTTGCTCCACCTGGACAGGGACATGGTGGGGGCAGGTGGGGCCCAGGGTCAGCTCTGAGGCCTCAGCCACACTTTTCACACAGCCATTCTGCTGGGTTGCCACGATCTCCTGGAGGCTCACTGGCTTGGTCTCACAGGGCAGCAGTTTCTGCGGAAAGGAGACAGGCCTTAGGAGCAACAGGAAGGGCTGAGGGCAGACACCAGGGAGGACTGAACGAGCAAGGGCTGGGAACCACGTGATCGGTTTTCTTACGGATGTGCTGTGGGACCTCGGTAGGTCACAGGGCTGTCCTGCCTCCTCCTGGGGCTGTCTTAGTAGATGAGGGAACCTGACCCACAGGGTGCAGTGAGGGAATTGGGTCTCCTGCCTGTGCCTCAGCATCCTGCCTGTGGAGTGGGGCGCCTACTACTTGTGGTTATTGAAGGCACCCTAAGATCATGAAGCCTCGTACAAACGTGCAAACATTCGCATTGCTGTTGGTCGGACCAGTGCCATCCCCACATGAGGGTACAGCTCCCTGAGGGCAGGACGTTAGTGTCCTTTGTTCCTTCTGTGTCTGGAGCAGTGCCGACCACAGTGGGTGCTCAAAAACTGGCTCTGAGGAGTTAGTCACCTCTGGTACCAGAGGAGAAACTGAGGCAGAGAGTCATGGAAGGACTGAAGACTCCACAGTGGGTGAATGGAAGATTGGTGCCCATCGCACGCAAGCTCCACTGGCTTGGGGGGCCTTTGGGGTGGCCAGGCTGGGAAGGAGGCACTGCTCTCACCTTGGCGACTGTGTCCTGAGAAAAGTCCTTCCGGCAGATATGGGCCATGATCCCTGCGGCCAGCGCATCACCCAGCACGTTAATCATGGTGCGGAAGCGGTCCCTGGTGGGCCAAGGTGGGCTGTGAGCAGTGAGCACTTGTGAGGGGAGCTGGGGGAGGGCAGGGTGAGCAGCCCCTGCGGGCGCCAGCTGCCAGCGCAGAGCCCACAGCGCGGCGCTTTCCTAGCCCTCTCAAGCCTACCACTCCCCCAGTGATGAGGAAGCAGGTAGATGCAGGGCTGGTTTCATGGGCGTGTGACCGTGCGGTGGAACAGGGCCTGTGCTTAGAAGGGCCCAGGTTTGGTTTAATGGTTTGCTCTCACCCCAGTTTTTGAAAACTGGGCTCCAAAATTAAGCAGCCGGGCCAATGTCAATGCATAAGGCACCCCACTGGGCCAAACCAGGGCATTTCCCCAGCTCACCCCAAAGGCCGGCTGTCTGAGGGGTGGAGGAGGGAGGGGCCGGCCTCACTCACAGAGCCCAGTCCACGGCGATGATGAGGGTGATGTCGTCAGTGGGCAGCCCCACAGAGGTGAGCACAATGACCATGGTGACGAGTCCGGCCTGGGGGATGCCAGCCGCCCCGATGCTGGCTGCCGTGGCTGTGATGCTGCAGAGGGGGTGGGAAGAGGAGGAGGAGAAGCAGGAGGGGCAGAGTGCCATGTTGGGGTCCTGGCTCCAAGAGAGGCCACAATGCCTGCAACTCTGAGGACAGTGATATGGGGCAGGGGTTGTTAGGAAGGCCACATCAAGGAGTTCTTGTTGCCTGATAGCTCCATGGGCCCCCGTCCCTGGCCTCAGCAGAACCTCCTGAGGAGTTTGTGGGAAATCCTGTGTCAGGAGCCCATGTTTCTGTAGGTTTCTTGGAAGCGGTCCAGAGATTCTGATCGCCCACCTGCACAGCTCTGCCCAACCTCCCTCTGGGGCCAGGTCCTCAGGGTCAGGCTTGTACCCTCAGGCTGGCGTGCGAGGCCTTCCCCTTGGCCTCTGCCCTTAACCTCAGCACCTTCCCTCAGCGCCAGCCGCACTAGCAGCCCCTCCATTGCCCCCAGCCGTGCCCCGGACTCTGCTCCCTCTGTGCTTGCCTGTAGGGCCCTCCTACCGGATTGCAGCTTCCCAGCCTGCTCGGAGCTCCCCACTCTGCCGGGCACTGCTGGGGAAGGAGCCCTGTGCCACCAGTCACAGAGGTCAGGTCAGGTCATGTCCCCACCCTAATGTTGACTTGCTGTGTGGCCTAGAAAGAACCCCTCAGCTTCTCTGGGACTCAGAGACCCTATCACATCTGAGAGCTTGAGAATCCTAAAGGCCCTTCCAGCAGCCACCCTTCTACCTCAGTCCACCTGGGCGTGGGGTGTCAGGAGTGCACCTGATGGTGATGATCTGGCCAAAGTCCAGCTCGTAGTTGTTGACCTGGGCAATGAAGATAGCGGCCACAGCCTCATAGAGCGCCGTGCCGTCCATGTTGATGGTGGCGCCCACGGGCAGCACGAAGCGGGCAATGCGCCGGTCGATGTGGTTGTTCTCCAGCAGGCACTTGAAGGTGATGGGCAGGGTGGCTGAGCTGCAGGCAGGGAGGTCGGTGTCTGCCCTCCATCCTCCTGCAGGATGGCCAGGGCCTCTGGGTTGCCAGCCCATCGTGGGGGAGAACAGGCCAAAGGGGCTTTGAAAACGACCGGGAGTGGCACCCTTTGGGAGTGTGCAACAGTGACCAGGCCAGCCCAGGGCCAGGACCTCAGGGTCACAGGTTAGGAAGGGACTTATACCAGCAGAATGCCTGCTACATGCTAAGTCTTGTGCTTTACACATACTCTCATTTGATCCTCACAGCCACTGGTGGGGGGTGGGGATTGAGTCCATTTTGCAGATGAAGAGATGAAAGCCCAGAAGGTAGGAGGGACTGACCCAAAGTCACACTGCTGTGCCAAGTACAGATGACGTGGTTAAAGCAAGGCTCTAAAGTGGACTCCCTAGGTTCAGATTCCAGCCTCCTACTAGCCAAGTGGCCCCAGCAGGTTCCTTAACCTGTGTACGCCTTAGTTTCCTTGTCCCAGGAAGGGATAATTACAGAGCTACTAGGGTGATTTAACGAGTAAGTGCTTGGCACGGTGTCTGCCTTGTCACAGCTACTCAAGCAATGGTAGCCGCTACCATTACTGTTGCTGTTTCTTCACTAGCGCTCCTGGTGGCAGTGCTGGGACCAGTACCGATGTTCATGTGACCCCAGAGCCCTTCCTGTCCCACAGGTCACAGCCTGGGGACCCCACTTACACTTGTCAGAGCCTCCAATGAACCCAGACGGGCTGGGCCCGAGGTTGTGGTTCCTGTCGAGCAGGAGGTGGCCAAGGGCTGCCAGCTCTGGCAGGGTGTGGCCTGTGGCATGGGGACAATGACTTGGGACTTCATCTTTCCTTTTCACCTCTGGCCTCTGCCCTAGGTGGAGGTTCTGGATAAGGAATGTGGGGTTTTCCCTTCCTGGGGCTCTGCTCCCCCTGAGTCCTGTGTGAGGCGCTTCTGCTGCCAAGGGGTTGGCGGTGGCCCTCATTCCCACGTTACAGATTGGGAACCTGAGGCCCAGAGAAGAGAAGGCAGTAAGGGCTGTAGGGAGGAGTCAGGCTTTGGCGCCAGAGAAACGTAGGCTTGAGCTCAGACAGTTTCCTCCATGTGGGGAGACACCCACTGTGGGTGGAACCACTCTTCTTTCACACGATCAGGGCATCTCACCCTGTGTAAGTGACATTTCCTCCTCCTTGATTGGGTTCGCAAGACTCTAACTCCCTGGGCTCTTCCACGCTGTGCTGTGGTCTGGGATCTCCGAGGGCAGGTGCTGCGTCATCTGGCCCAGACTGGCCTTTCCCTTGGTTTGTTATCTCCATTAATCCCACAGCAACCCCCTGGGGATGCTACAGTGATCCCCAGTCTGTAGAGGAGGAACTTGATGCCCAGGGAAGTCAACTGACTTGCCCACAGTCACACAGCTAGTGGGTGAAGGGACCGTGATTCAAATCCCCACGCGTAGTGACACGGGCAAGGCTATAACAGGGCATCTAAGTAGGGTGTCTCAGTAACAGTCGACAGGCAAAGTCCCTACACAGCACCGGGCCTGGCGCCACAGAAGCACCATGTGGCAACAAAAGGCAACAGCAATTGTAGAGTCATCACTCCTTAGAGAGCTGTCCCTGTCTCCTGATGTGTGGAGGCCCAACCCCATGTGGACCGAGTGAAGCTGAGGGATGTGGGTAGTGGGCGGGCAGGGGAAGGCCTCAAGAGGCGATAAGGGCTTTCTGCCATTTGGGCAGGTGGGGCCTCAAGCATTACATTTCAAAAATTGGCCTTGTTACCATAACTACCCCTGAGTTTGTAAAGTGGGCTTTACTGACACTTTCCACGAGTCTGTGGCCATGGACAAATGATGGCTGAAGAGATGGGCAGAGCGGGGCTGCCACCAACTCCCCTGTTCCGCCCGCTGCCCAGGGCTACCTGGAAGAGGTGGCCAGTGCGATGAGCAGGGCCTGGAGGACACCGCGAATGAAGACGATGGGGTTCTTTTTGGTGATGAAGAAGTACAGCAGAGGCAGGATGAAGAGGCCATGGACCACCAGCCCACACACTACAGTGACCGCGTAGAAGCCCAGCTTTTTCCCGACGGCTGTGGGGTCATCCATCTCCAGGATCTTGCCAGCGATGAGAAACACAATACCAAAGGGGAAGTACCTGTTGTGGGGGTGGGGCAGCCAGCTCAGTGCCAGGCAAGTGAGGGTTGCAGGCGCCCTGGCACCGCCTCACTGCCTGAGCCTGCCGGGGGCTCGGAGGACTGAATGAGACTGAGTGCCAAGGTGCTTGGCACATGGCATCATTAAACCACTGTCCTCAACCAGCCTAGCCCTGCACAACCTCTCACCCCTCCACCTTCCTGCCCAGGCCTCTGAGGAGTACACCTGCCCTCTACAGGCCCACGTTTCAGCCCAGCAATGCCACACCTGCGTGCATGACCTTGGGCAGGCCTCTGCATCCCCTCATCTAAACTGTGCAGGGTTGGACGAAAAGATTTCTAAGGTCTGAGCTCTGAACCAAGGAGTGGCAGCTGGTTTTCACTTCCAGAGTTTCCTTCCTCCAAAAGCTGAGCTGATGAGCTCCATGTGATAGGGAAACTGGGCCAGGAGAGCAGGGCCAGGCCTAGCTCTTAGCTCTCCTCCAGTGGGCCTGACCGGGCCAGAAGTGGCAGGCCCAGGGCTGGCACTAGGCCCGGTCAGGGCTGGGGATCCAGGGGAGCACGTGTGACTCTGGAGGCCTCAGGCCAGGGCTCAGCCTCCTGGGAAGCCTCCACCTAGGAGAAGAGAGGATGGGGCCCTGGGGTCCCTCTGTGTGCCCAGGGCAGGACTGGAAAGGGGTTGGGTAGGAGAGGCCACCCCCATCGCAAGGAGGCTTACCACACAGCCACCGCTACAATCTTCATGACAGACTCATTGAGGCACTGGCAGAAGCTGACCAGGGGGGCCCCGCTGTCACCCATGCGGCCCAGCATGATGCCTGAGGGGGCAGGGACACACAAGCAGATGACACACCGCACAGGCCAAGATGAAGGCATGTGTGATGCCTGCACATGCTGACATGCACTGGTGGCAAGGCGGGGACAGACCCCCATGCACACGTGGACCTCGCCCTTGGCTGACTTCCCAGTGGCCTCCATGCACCCGTGTTCCCCTCCACTCTCTCCTCCCCTTCTCCTTGGCCTCCACCCCTGGACCAGGGCAGTGACCTTGCAACGGGGCTCTCATCTCTTCCTTCTCTATAACCCATTTTCCACACGTGTCATCTTCTTAAGATAAAAATGCTCCCTGCTGAACACCCGCCTCCCCACTGGCTTCCCTGATGACCTAGACTGTAACCAAGCTCCCCATGGCTCCAGGCCCCACTTGATCTGACCCTTGTCTATGCCTCCCACTTCCATCTGGCTCTTGCCTTCCTCACTGTGCTCTGGCATCACTGGCCTTCTTTACATTTCTAGAAGACACCAAGCTCTTCATTGCCTCAGGGCCTTTGGCCAGCTAGTTCCCAATGCCTGAAACATGGCCTCCCAGCTCACCACATGCCTTGGACACCCATCTCCACTGCCCTTCGAAAACTCCCAATTTGTTCTCATCTGTCTCATCTCTTTCCTGTCTTTTCATATCATTTATCACACTTATAACTGATTTTCTAGTTGTTTTTCCGTCTCCTCCAGTAGAAGCTTAGTTCCATGGGAGTAAGAACTGTATCTCAGCTGTCACATGGTAGATGCTGAACTATAACCATTGAATGAATGAATGAACAAATGAATGAATGACAAAGCCTTTCCCAAGGCCCCTGTTATTCTCCCATCAGGGCTCTGGACTCTTCTCCCCTTGTGAAGTGTTCACATGTGGACTGGTCCATGGGTGAGCTCCATACACATGCGCACAGTCAGGCCGCTCTTGCAACAGTGATGAGTGACTGCTCCTTCTTCAGTGGCTGCCCTCATGAGGCTTAGTCACTGTGGTCCAGGAGGCTCATCGACTGACTCAGCAAGGGGGGAGCAGGGCAGGATTTGTACCTGGCCTATGGGGCTCCTTCCCTGCCCCAGGAAACCCTGAACCCACGTTGTCTCTGAAAGAGCTACCACTGCCATGAGGTGGCGACCCTGTTGGGGCAGGAGAGGCGCAAGTCAGAGATGACACTGGCCAGCCCTGCCCTTCTGGCCTGTGGAGGCCTGGAGTTCAGACCAAGGTCCCTGCCTGCTCTGACTGTCCCCTCATTAGCCTCCACTTAGATTTCCCTGGGGGCATCTGGGGGCTCTGTCTGGCTGGATGCTAGTGTGCATTGGACCCAGCGTGGGTGCGGGCTTCCTCCAACAGAAAAAGCCAATGGGACCTTAGCGTCAGACACCTCTGAACACCTGGAAAAAGCAGGGAGGGGAGGCCGGGTTGAGGGGCCCGAAGCAAGCCCCATTCGGAGCAGCTGTCTCAGTGTGCTCGCTCGGCCTCAGGTGTGGGCCCACATTGACATGAGCCCTGCAGATGTGGACACACACAGGCACAGGTACACAGAGACTCGGGCACACACTGACTTGAGGACACATACACAAATCTGCACTTATCCACAGACAATTACACATGGTCAGTAAACACTTTGTGAATTGAGTCAAAGGGTCTCAAGGGTTTCATTTGCTCTGCAAATAGCTGTCCTTTCTGTATGTTTCCAGCCCTATGAGAGAGGCGGTGGCTGAAAGGAGGAAGAATGTTCAGGATTGGGGACTAATTCTCAGATGTGCCGAAGGCACTTCCAAGCACCGTCTTGTTACACACTTGGGTCACTAAAGTCCCGGCCCCTCTGCATGTCTGGCATTTTAGCCAAGATGATAAGAGCTCTATTATCCATCACTGCCCATTCATTCATCCATCCATCTACCCATGTCTCCAGCAGATTTTACTGAGGGCCTACTCCTGCCGGTCACTAAGGTGGGCGGGCTGCGGGGATAAATGGAGAACGCACCCGGCCCCTCTCTGCCTGCATGCAGCTTACGCCAGCTGCTGCGCAGACATTAAAAATTACACCACCCATTACATAACTGCAGTAGGGTCAAGAGTTTAAAGAGTAACACAGGGCACACATCTGGGGAGTTGGAAAGATCTTCCTGAGGATGAGATGCTTATAGAGGTCCCCCCCTCATTACTACCACCCTCAAGGATGAGAAGGGTGCAGGGTGAGGAAGGGGGCAGGAGCATCTAGGTGGGGCGGGGGTGGGCGGGTGGGCCGGGAGATGCTCTCCAGGAACTGAAAGGCCCCGGGGCTGGGCAGTGAGCGGGACTGAGGAGCGGGAGGCAGCCTGGGCGATCGCTCAGAGCTCCACAGGCCCTACAGGGTTGGGCCCCTTTCCAGGTGGAGTGGGGGGCCACAGGAGGCCTTAAGCGGGGGCTTTGTGACCCCATGAGGAGGACACACCAGGACAGGGGACTCTTTAGGCAGCCTTTGCTGAAACCACGTGAGAGATGATGGCAGCCTTGGACCAGGGTGGCGGCAGAGGACGGAGGGAAATGCAGGGCTTGGAGACGGACTTCAGAGGCCGACCTGACGGGATTGGGCTGTGGGCTGAGGCAGGAGGCGAGGCAGAAAATGGCCCCCAGATTTCCTGCTATGAGCAAACAGAAAGATGGTGAGGCTTTTTACTTGAAAAGAAAACCCTGTGGATTATTCAGGGAAGCAGGAGAGAGCCTCCCAGGCCCTTGGCTGGGATGATGGGGAAGGCTGATGCCAATTTTAGAAGAAGACTCATAATGACCCCTGGCATGGCCTAGAAGGACAAGCTAGATTGCTCTGGATGGGTGAGGAGGTGTCCCCCAACAAGAAACTGTCTGTGTTGTGTGTGTGTGTGTGTCAGTTGTAAGGGGTGGGGTGGGGCACTGTAGGCAGAGATGTATCCATGGGTTTTGTGGGCTTTGAGGCTTATACAGTTTGGGGGCCTCTTTAAGGAAAAGAGTACACAAAATTAAAAACAAAATAAGGTACAGGGCTCGGAAGGGGTCTGTGTAAGTTAAGCGTCACCAGCTTCAAGGTGAGTAGCCTGTGGCTGGAGGCCCACAGAAGAGTAGCAAAGGGAAGGGTGTGGTCAGGTAGGCCAGCTGTGGGCCCCAAGAAAAGACGCAGAGGTGTCTTAGGAGAGACCCCGCCAGGGAGAAGCCCCTGCCGGTGGGGGTGGGAGGAGGAACAAGGTGTCAAAGAAACAGTGATGGCTGATAGTTTTTAGACTTTTCCTGGTTTTTTAAAATTTTTTTAAATTTTTTTTATTGCTAACTGCCCCCCACCCCACCAATCCCCAGTATTCCCAGACCTCAGTAAAGAGTTCAGAACAGGAGGGGCCAGAGCCATGGACTTTTTCAAGGGAGGGCCCACGCCCCAGGAGGCAAACTAGCTCCCAGGGATGGAGAATTCCGAGTGAGGAACACTGGCTCCAGGGACGAGGGCTGGAGCCACTCCACTGCATGGGAAAGGAAGGAGTGGCCTGGAAGATGGGAGGCTCCAGGTTATTCAGGTTGCTGGAGGCAGCCATGCAGGGAGAGGTAGGTGCAGGGAGGGGTAGGTGCAGGGAGGGACCAGACCCCTGACCCTGTGGGGTGAGGTGGGCAGCACGTACCCATGGTGGCAGAGAACATGACAATGCCCAGCACGTTCATGCCATCGCTGGTGCCAGGCTCTGACTTGTAAATGACCTCAGGGGGCGGGGTCAGGTCCAGGGCGAAGTTCTGAATGTGAGAGCCGTTCTCTTCCTGGACCCCATAGATAAAGATCCGCTGAGAAGGGGCCTCCTCTGATGCCGCTTTGGGAGACTTGACAACAGGCGTGGTCTTGGTGCGGTACTGGTGGGCGACACCCCAACCAGGAAGGAGTCAGGGCCAATGTTGTTATTAAGATTGACAACAACAATAATAAAACATCTTGGAAGCACATTTGTATCCACTCATTAACTATGTGATTGACAATAATCCTGTGAGGTAGGCAGGACAGGGATTACTATCAATATATTTTACTGAAAAGAAAACTGATTCCTTCATTCATCTACACATACTACCCAGCCACGCCACTCTCTGTCCCTTCTTAGCTCTTCCTCCTTCTAAGCATTATTACACCTTCTGGGTCTCTCTCCCACTGTCTATCTATCTCTTTCTTCATCTACCCGAGTAATTCTCCATTCACCCATCTATCCCTTCCAACCATCCATATCACAGTCAGCCAGCCAGGCCTTCCACTGATGGAAACTTGGGCCTTCTATAGGTACACCTCAGTTTATTGCAACTTGCTTTACTGCACTTCACAAATGTTGTGGGGTTTTTGGTTTTTTTTTTGTTACAAATTGAAAGCAAGACCCTCTGCCAGCAAAAAGAGTTCTACTTGTTTTATTGCAATACTCATTTTATTGTGGTGGTCTGGAACTTAACCTGCAACAGCTCCAATGTATGCCTGTATTTGAAAAGCTCAGCTTGCCCCAAGCCTTCTTGATGAGATGAGGTCCCAGCTGGGAAGAATCAGCCACTGAGCTGCCTACATTTCCTCCTCTTCCCCAGGGCATTTCTGGGTCTTTCCCTCTCATGCTTTAGTTACTAGGATCCCAACAAGGGAGTCTCCAATCCTCCCATCTCCCCCGTGTCAATAAGGTAAGCCTTGGGTAGGGAAGAAGGAACCACTCAGGAAGTGTATGGGACCTAAGTTTTTGGGCTTCAGTTTCTTTCCCTGTACAGAGAGGGTTGTAACAGTATCTACCTTATTAGATTAAATAACAGCGGTTGGCAAAAGTAAGTTTACAGTTGTTCATGTGGAGAAATATATACTACAAGAATAACTAATAATACAAGAATAAACTCTGCATTTCACATACGCACAATAGTAAACCCACTTCTGCCCACCCCTGTCTATGTAAGCGCCTACAACAGTAAGTGCCTGGCACATGCTTAGCCTCATGCAACCATTATTGCTGGTACTGACATCAGCACCATCATTCCACTATTGCACATTCTCTGTGGGCTGCTGGGGGTACAGAAATGAACCAGATGTGAATTCTCCTCTGAGAGCCTTGGAGAAGCAGTGCTACTACTCTGCCTGAGAGAGTCTCACAGCTTCACAAAGAAAGTGACATTTGATTTGGGACTTGAAGGACAGGAAGGAGTTTGCCAAAAGATGAAGGGCATTCCAGGGAGGTATGAAGTAGAGCAACGTTCTCTCCCTCCCTCTCACACCAGCTGTGATTCCCCATCGCTGCTGGAATAACATCCAAACTCCTAGTCTAGCATTTAGGGCCCTTCTCTAACTGGCTCATTTCACAATTGAAGACCCCAGAAATTAGGAAAAATAACTCAAGATTCCACAGCGCCTTATTCGAAATCCTCCTCTCCAACCCCCAGCCACCTCCTTTGTGTCCCAGACCCAATGCAGGGCCCAACACAGGGAAGGGGGTCGGGAAATGCCTGCTGGATTAAGTCAACCAAGCAGCCAATGTTTCAGAAGGGGAAAAGAGTTAGAAACTACTAGGAGTGCAGACGGTTGGTGCACAAAGATTTACTAGAAGGGCAAAACTTTGAAAACCAAAAGGGAGGTGGGCAAATAAATTATAGTCCAGCCTTATCACCACAAATACTGTATTTTTAAAAAACAATGACTGGGAAAAATGCTTATGGTATAATGGGAGCAGGGGGAAAAAGATGCACCCTGATCCTAATTTTATTTAGAGGAAAAAAAGACTAAAAGGATACCAACTACTATGGTTATTGCTAGGTGCTGAAACTAGAAGTGCTTTTTATTTTATTTTATATTTTTTAATATTTTCCTAATATTTATAGTAAATGTTGTACTATTGTTATTAGGGGGAAAGAATTATTTTAAAAAGAAAGAGAAAACAGGCAGACAGGCTGAGGTTCACCTACTAGGCTATCATTTACTAGTGCTATATCCTTGGGCAATTCTTTTCATCCTCTGAGCCTCAGAGCTGGAACCCAGAGCAGGGATGTAGCCTTGGGAAGCTCTAAGGATCTAGGGTCCCCCTCCTCGCCTCCCCTCTAGCATCCTTCCCCCAGGTATTGGGATGATTTGCTGTAACCTGTCACTCCCCAGTTGGGCCCAGGCTGGCCCTGCCTGTCACACACTCACCTGTTTGAATGTGGCTTCCACCAGGTTGGCAGGGAACATGTTCCTGGAAAGAGAGTCAGGAACTGAAGAATTCCAGAGCCCGGGACAGGAGGGGCCTTGGGATCATCTGAACGCCTCCCCTGGCAGTCAAGACCTTCCATGACTCCGCCCCACCACCCTCCGCCCTCCGCAGCCTCACCTCCTCCTACCACCAGCCACCCTCCAGGATTTAAAGCTCCAACACCAATTGCATATAGTCCCCTAAACACATCATATACTTTTCAAATCAGTCCTCTCTTCACACTGTTATTTCTGCTTGAAATGCCCTTCCTATTTTTCTAACTCCTGCTCCAATCAGTCAGAGACCAAGCCTTCTCCGACTGCTCCAGGTTGGCCCTGGGGCCCTGCCCCTGAGTCACCTACTCTCTAGTGCACAATGTGGCAGTGGCAATGGCTTACACATCTGCCTCCCCCTAGACTGGCTTCCTTGAAGATGGCACTTGGTCGTTCATATCTCATTCTCGGTGTCCAACCCAGTACCTGGCACATAAGTGGGATCGTTATTCTTATTAACATTATTTTCATAAAGCTAAAGGAGGAGGGAGTCTTGTCCTACCAGATATGAGAACACTATACAGACGTAGCTGTCACAACAGGGAGAAACTGACACAGCTGTCAAAAGAAAAATCAGTGTAATGGAACCTGAAGCCTGGAAACAGAACCAAGGCCGTCTAAGTATTTTATAGTTGACAAAAGTTGCTTCACAAATCAGCAAAGAAAAGGCAAATTCATTATAGACAACTGTGCAGCCAACCAACTATTCAGAAAAATAGAAGTTAGGTCCTAAAAAAAAAGTTAGATCCTTATTTATACTTGGTACCCAAATAAATCCCAGATGGTTTAAAGAAATAAATAATTTAAAAATGTACCCATAAAAAGCTAAAACAAAATATAGATTAATGTTTGATCAGATTGCAGGATATGGAAAGACTAAGAACAAAATGAGCAATGCAAGTTAATAGATGTCACTACATTAAAATTAAGAATTTTCTAAGTACACTGTGATATCCTGGATTGGGTTCTGGGACAGAAAAAAAAGGACATTAGTGGAGAAACTGGTGAAATCCAAAGAAGGTCTGTAATTCAGTTAATAGTTGTACTAATTTAATTTTAGTTTTGAAAAATATGCCAGTTATGTCAGTGGCTAACATCAGAGGAAGCTGGGTGAAGGGCACATGGGGAATCTGTACTATCTTTGCAACTTTTGTATAAACCTAAAATTATGCCACAATAAAATGCTAATAAAATTAAGAAGCTCTCTGAGACAGAGGAATACAAGTAAAATTCTAAAGCAAATGACAAGCTGGGGAAACTGTATGACAGGGAGTTAGCGTCCTATATCCATGAAGTTTTTACAGATCTTGTCCTTGTCTCCATGCTCACTGTCTGCCTCCTCTCACCAGAACATCAGCGCCCTGGAGGGCAGAGATCTGTGTTTTGTCATTGCTGTGTCCCCAGCTCCTGGAAGAGTGCCTGGCATGTAACAGGCACCCAGTAAATATTTGCTGCTGCATATAAATAAATGGATCACAAGAACATTAATATCCCAATAGAAAAACAACTGAAAGTCCTAACCAGGGAATTCACTTCACCAAAAGAGAAATACAAGTAGCTCCAAAAGCTTTCTAAAAGTGTTCGGCTTCATCAATAAATTAAAGGCATTTCCACCATCAAACTGGTAGAGGGGGTTTTTTACGTGATGATGCATAACGCAGAGGAGGCGCGGGCCCCTCCCAAGGTTCTGGTAGCACCTTTCTGTAAACAATATGCAGCCCATATCGAGGGGCTTAAATGCATTGTATCTTTGCCTTTACAAACTGCTTCCAGGGACCTAGTCTAAATCAGGGATCCTAACAAAGATTCTTGTTCGTGTGCTTGCCCTTCCTAGCACACTCACACTGCGTGTTCTTCCTGGGTCGTCCATCCCACTCAGTCTTCTAGGGCAAATCTCCTCCAAGACTCGGCTCACACATAAATGGAGTTACATATGTAAATACGAGTGTGCATTTTTTCTTAACTTTACACCCCAGCAGCCACTGTTGGAAGGCAGAAACTATCAATTTCTTCACTGCTGTTAAAATACATGTTCAGTGTAAGCATATGGCCAGAGGAAGAGGCTGAGAATGAGCTACTGAGGCAGAAAACTGGGAAAGAATGGTCACAGCGTTTTCCACTAATTTCAGCTTTGTCACTGGGAGAAAAGCAGCAGAGTCAGGAACTGAGCTCTCAGAAGTTCAAGTGAGGCTTCTGTCCAATGAGTTTGAAGCAGATTTCTGCCGCCAGAATAGTAGCGACTGCAAGGGCTTTGACATCAAGGAGACCGGAAGCACCCACTGGGCACACAGCCCGCCAGAATGCCACGGGCTACTGGCCCGGGGCATGCGTGACCAGAGTGGAGGGTGCCCGTGCTGTACTGATTGCTAATAGTCTGAAAAGCTCCCCTGGGTATAGCTCCACGAGGTTCAAATGATTTATAAGAGGTTTCTAATTTAACTTAGAGGAAAGGCTGCTTCAGCCTGAGTAGAAACTAAGGACATTCAGAAGGTCATACGAAACCTAATGGAACACACCTAGTACATACATGTCTTTCTAACTTCCTTTAAAATGAGAATAATTTAAAATGTGTTCTATGGCAGGGATGGCTAGTTGCCTAGCCAGTCTCTCTCCTCCTCTACTAGCAGAGGCCCTGGGATGCTGGGGGGACCAACAAAGCCCTGCCATCAAACCCTGTTTCCCAGCATCTCTTGACAGAGGGGTGGCCAATAAGATATAAGTGGGAGTCATTGGGTGATGTTTTCTAGAAAACTCTTGAAAAGGTGCCCACTCAGCCAGGACCCTTTGGTCTCTTCCTCCAATTTTCTTTTCTCTGCCTGGAATATGGACATAATAGCCAGAGCTTCAGCAACCTTCCTGGACCAGGGGACACACGGATGATAAAAGCCAAGTGCTACCTAAGGACAGTGAAGCACAGAGGTGGAGGGAACGCCTGAAGACCATGAGTGCCCACCTCTGGACTGTGGGAGAAAACGCAGCCTTTACCTTACTTAAACCTCTGCTGATTCAAGCTTTTCTTAACTAGCAGCCAAAAGCAATTCTTGACTAATACAGGCACTCATACTAATTATCAATGAATTTATCCTGCAGGTTTTAATAAAGAGTTTACTTTTGCCCTGACAGTGTGGCTCAGTTGGCTGGGCATCATTCTGCAAAGAGAAACGTTGCTGGTTAGTTTCCTGGTCAGGGCATGTGCCTGGGTTGCAGGTTCAGTCCCCGGACAGGGCGTGTGAGAAACGACTAATCTATATTTCTCTCCCTCTCTTCTCCTCTTTCTAAAAATAAATATACACAATCTTTTCAAAAAGAATTTACTTTTGATTACTCAATGGGAAAATGCACAACTTCGTTTTGGTTTTGAACACCCGTGGGAAGCCCCCCTCCTGCCCGCCCCCCATCTGCCCCATGAGGCCTGCGCTCCTGGAGGCAGTTACATAGAATGCAGACAGCACAGGCCTGGGAGACATTAATAACCATGGCCATCAAGTACACCCTGCCCTCTCCTGGGCCTGCCTGCACATCTCTCAGGACAAGGCCATAGTTTATCTCTTGGCTCCTCTCCTCACTATTTATAAGCTCCCACTGTGACGGTTCCAAACTCTCCCTAACCCCGTGTCCCCAGCCCAGGCCCCAAAGGTGGGAATTGTTCCTCTCCCAGCACAGTTCCCGGGAGCTTCGTCCAATCCCTGAGAGGATAACTGGGAGCTCTACAAAGAGCCAAATCATTACTTAATCTCTCTGGTGTTTTAATAAGATTGGGGAAAAAAGAAGGAAAAAAAGCAGCTCTGATTTGTGTTCTGCTTGGTTTCTCTGTCAGCTGCCCTGTAAGCAGACGTCAGTTTTCTGGAAACCTGGGAAATGGATCCATGTCTTGGCGAGTCACCCAGGGACACAGTCTGCCGTGTTCCTCTGGAATCATCTTTGCAGAACAGGCGCACATCTTGCCACCCCCGAGGTGTGGCATGGGCCTTGTTTCCCTGTTCGGTTGGCCCCCACATCTTCTTGACTTTTCATTTGTCACATCTACCGCCAGTTCCCAGTTCCCTGCCCTGGTCATTGTGTTCTTGTTCAGTTTTCAACACGTGGTGGGCATCTGCTCTGAGCCAGGGCAAGAGCGGGGGAGCCCCTGGTGTCCTCACTGCTGGGGTCCTTGTCGCATGCACAGCCTGTCAGAACGCCAGAGCTAGGAAGGGTCTCAGAGAGTGGCTGTCCAGTGCACCCTTCTCATCTGTCTGTCCCAACATGGTGGGCAGCCTGATACAAGGACTTGCATTTGTCCCACCACACCCCCAGCTCCCAGCACATTGTCTTCCCCCAGAGCAGGTACTTAATAAAGGTGGGCTGAATGGAACGGGATTGACTGCAACCCACCCTACCCGAGGGCATCTCAATGCCTCGTCACCTCCTGTGCACTCCATCCTGCTCCAGTCCTTCCCAAACTCACTAGCTTCTTGTTTCTTACGCATAACAGCCCTCCCCTCAACCTGAAATCAAGGTCTTCAAGGTTGACCTCTGCCCTGTCCTCTTCACCTCATTTCCCAGTATCCGCTTCCAGAAACTTCTGCTCATGCCTTGCAGCCTCCTCATTGGGTTGGAGGCCTTTGTGTTTGAGAGCCACAGAACTAGAAGGGATTTTGAAAATAACTGGGGAAACTGAGGCCCAGAGAGTGGGACTGGCCTGACCAGAGCCCCACGGTGACTTACTGGCAGAGCTCAGATGAGACCTCACATCTCCGAGGTTCTGTCCCAGGAAGCATGTATCTTCCCCTGCAGCCGAGTTCTCTAAGAAGCCGTGACAACCACCTAGCTTTGCAAAACAACTTGCCTTGGGATTGAGAGCAACTAGGGGGAAAAGCCTGAAACCAGAAGGATCAACTTTCACCACGTGAAAAGGAACTGAGAGCAGGAACTGCTCCTGGGACATCTGACTCTGACACACGTGCCCCATCCTGAGCCCTCAGCCCCCGAGCAGGGGAGGCCGTGGTGGGAGGGCGGGGGCTCCCTGAGCATCAGCAAGTCCTTCCACCACAAGAGAAGGCTGTTTCGAATCATAGAATCCAAGAAATGATGAATCATAGTCACCAACTCTAAGAAATAATGGACCTTAAAACTGGAACTTCTCAAAATTCATCTTCCCCTTGCTTGAAGGGCATCTGCTCTTCTGGTTCTCGTCCTGGCCCTCAACTTGCTCCTGCCACCAGCTCTGCAGCCCTCCCAGGCGGCTGTGGGCCACATTCCCCTGGCCTCGCTGCCGCATGCTCAGCACATTCCCCCTGGGCCGGTCCCTCCTCTTGCGGGTTCAAACCCCAACCCCACTGATGACCCCACATCCCACGTATGCATTCAGCAAACACTGGCCCCTCCTTTGTGCCAGCTGCTGTTCTAGGCGCCAGGATCCCGCAGGAAATGGGGTTTTTTGTTTTTTGTTTTAAATGATCTAGCCTTCCTGGAGCATATTTTATTCCAGTGGGGGAGACAGAAAGAGAAATACAGAAGTCCACGGACTTGAAAATGTCAGGTGGTAATAAAGCCTATGAGGAGAGAGTGACAGAGGCTGGGTGGCCCTTCTGAAGAGGTGACACAGTGGAGGTATAAATGGAGGGAGAGAAGGGCGGTGTGCATTTTCCAGGAGGCAGAGATGAGGACAGGGCACTCGAGGGGACCTTCGCGACATCTGGAGGAATGTCTGGGGCCGGTATGGCCTGGGGGGTGGGGGTGGGGGAGCGAGGGGAGGAAGAGTTGGAACTGAGGTCAGAGACCGACCTGTGTGTGTATGTGTGTGTATGTGGGGGGGATCATGAAGGGCCTGTAGATCACAGAAAACACTGGATTTTGTCAACATGTGATGGGTTGTGAACAGGTTTTAAAAAGCATCCCTCTGGCTGCTGTGCTGAGAACAGAGTGGGGAAGCGGAGAGAAAGCAGGGCGACCTTACTGGACAACAGAGTGAGAGGTGATGGTGGTCTGGGTGATGGAAGTGGCAAGGGGGACATAAGGGACAAGGTTTGGAATATTATAGTGAAGGTAGAGCTGGCAGAATTTGCTGACAATTGGGGGCAGGATATAAGGGAATGAGAGACACCAGACCAAGACGGGCAGGACTGAGCAAAGGGCAGATTTATAGGGAAATCAAAAGATTAGCTTTGGACATGCTAATTTTGAGATGCCTTTAGACGACTGTATGTAAGAATCTAAAGTGCAGGGGACAGGTTTCTAGGCTGGAAACAAAATTTGTCAGCATCAGCGTACAGAAAGTATTCATCATCCTGGTACTGGATGAAATCACCAGGCAAGGGAATGCACTCCACCCTGCTCCATCCGTCCTTCCCAAATTCACCAGCTTCTAGCTCTGTGGTTCTGGAAAACAAAGACCTCTAACCCAGTGGGGAGGCTGCAGGGCCTGAGCAGAAGCTTCTGGAGGTGGGTTCTGGGAGATGAGATTAGGAGGACAGGGCAGAGGTCAACACTTAAGACCTTGATTCTAGGTTGAGGGGTGGGCTGTTTTGCTTAAGAAACAAGCATGCAACACAGCCTGCCTGGGTCTCTTTCTGGCACTAGACCCTGTGGCTGAGAACCACACAATAGGAACAAAATTGCAAGTATTTTTGTGATCCTTAGTTCATCACAGGCCTCAGAGAATGAAAGAGAACCTGGAGAAGGGAGAAAGTGGAGGGAGTGGTAGATTGATGGCACTGGTGACTCCCATTCAAGGACGCCATTTGCCTAGTAATATTGTGGTCCCCTCCCACCTGAGTCGGGGCTTGGCCTCATGTCGCTTTGGCCAATAAGATGTTAACCGACTTGACAGAAGCAGAGATGGTCCTCTTCCTTCATCATAAGAATATGCCCAGCCTAGCTCTCTCTTAGAATCCTGTCATCACCAAGAAGTAAATCCAGGCCGGCCTGCTGGAGGATGAGAGCCCACGGGAGCGCAGCTGAGTCTGTCTGCTGAGATCATCCTGGATGAGCTGCTCCCCAGGTGAGTTACCAGCTGCCTGCGGGCACAGAACCGTCCAGCAGACTTAGAGACCTAAAGCTGTTTTAAGCCTCTAAGTCTTGGGTTGGTTTGTTACACAACAATTAATAATGGATAGAGAGGGTGAAGAGGGAGAGAGAGAAAGAGAGTGAGGAAAGGAGGGAGCAGAGAGAGAGAACTGTGCGCTGGGTCTCTACCCCTATAGGGGAGGAGAGGAGTGTCCCTTAGGATTTGAGGAGTGTCAGAGCTGGTGCCTGACTCATGTCCAAAGGCCCTGGGAAAGGCCTGCACTTCCAGCAAAGATACGTATGCTTCCCATGAGCCGGATGTGGATCCTGCAGAAGGGACCCTGCCTAAAAGGATCATCCAGGGGGATGAGGCGACCTCCACAGAGGAGTTGACCAGAGGTCAGCCCTGAGGAAGGCATAACAGATGGAGCGGGACCACCCAAGTCAAGGGAATAACAAGGAAGACGCCAGTGGCAGGAGGGGCTCCTAAGAACCCACAAAAGCACCCCTGAGGAAATACACCTTGGGAGTGTCTATACCAGCTCACTCCACCGCCAGCGGAGGAGGACCTTCTAGCCCACTCTGTCCTCTCTCCACTACTCCAACCCCAGTGCTAGCAACAGGGGAGTAGATGGAGCACGAAAGAGGAAAACCTACTATGATCTTCTTCCCACTCCATGTTTCCAAGTTTGAATCAGGCACAAAAGGCTAAGATAGGATTCATTTTAAATCAGATGAGCCTGGAGTTGTAATAGTAGACTGGACTGGGTTTCTTATACCTGAGACCGGCAAGAAAATGAAAAGGACTAGAAGGAGCCCACAGAGCAAGTTTGATGGGGTAATCGCTTCCAATGCGGTGCTTCCCGGGGCTCTGTCCTGGCCCTGCTCTCCTCACCCACATCGTGCTGGGAGATCCCTCCACCTCCAGGGTCTACCTGATGCCTCTACCCTGCTGGTTTCCCAAACTCCTTCTCCAGGTCAGATTCTCCCACTAGACGGATGCACCAGCCAACCACCGGCAGCCCTCTCCCCCAGGATATCCTGCTCTGGCACCGTCCTCCGGTTCGGTGACCATGCCACCGTCCACTCGGGTGCTCAGACCTGAAACCTTCATGCCATCAGCACCGCCATCTCCTCCACCCTCCCCATTATTTAGCCCGTCTCCCGCTGACTTTGCCCCCTGAGCGGCCCTTCGGTCTGCCCTCTTCCCCGTGCCCATGGCCGACGCCCTGGCCCCGCCCCTGCCTCTGCCTTCCCCTCCTACCAAGGCCGCCCCCCCGCCCCCCCGTCAGCCTTCTGAATTGGATCATGCCAGTCCTATATGTTAAACCCATTTCAGGATAAAACACAATTTTTGGCCTGATTCACAATGCTCTTCGCGGTCCAGCACCACCGACTTCTCCAGTGATTGTCCACCTGCTCCCCCCACCCAGCCCCGCCACCGCACTCTTCAGGCCCCGTCACACTGAAGGGACTATGATTTCTCCCCACGACATTCCCTCTCAGCTCAGGGCCGCACACAGCTGTTGTGTCCCTGGCTCCCCTGCCCTCCCGCTCACCCCATCCTTCAAAGCAGCAGCTTTGCCTCCTGTGACCCTGCTCCTCCCGCCCACCCCCAGCCCTTAGGTCCCTCATCACAGCCCCCACCCCATGTCGTCTGCGTCTAGTCATGGGTTTCTCTCTCCACCGGATCTCGGGCAGCTCTGAGTGTCCTGGCACAGGGCCAGCTCTGGTGAGGCAGCCAGAGAGGAGGGGGAGTGGTCGGGAGCCTGGGGAAGGGGAGTCAGACGTGGTTATATTATTGCAGGGTCTAGAGCACTTTCCTGGGAGGAAAGAACAGATCTGTGAAACAAATGGTTAGCAGAGCCCATGGCCCAGGCAGGGGCAGCGTGGGGGGCGGAAGGGGGGGTGGCGAAGAGGGGCCTGCCCTTGGAGTCAGACAGGCCTGTAAAAAGGGGACCAAAAAGGAAAGGGCAGCGGAGCGGGGTGGGACCTGTGACTGCTGGCCTTCCACCTGAGAGGCTGGGCGCGCACAAGCAAGCCCAGTGAGCAATCACTGACGCCTGCTCTGTGCCAAGCCATGTGCAGGGTTGGGATCCCAGAGGAGCCACCCCGTCCTGCCCTGAAGGTGCTCTCAGCCTGATGGGGGCAGAAGTGCCGTGTGAGGCCCGAGGGAGCGCAGGGGCTGAAGGAGCGAAGAGCGGCCTCTGTGGCTGCCGCCTTATTGCCATGAGTAATCAAGAGAAGACCCCGAGCGCTCGCTCCCACACTTGATCCTGCCCGCTGTGCAGCCGGCAGCCCCAGCCCGGGCATGGCTTTCCCAAGCAGGGTGTCGGGGGCGGGGGTTACCGGATGAGGTCCAGTAGGGCATCGGCTGAACTCATGATGGGTTTCCCGCTCTGCTCCGTCGCCTCCTTCTGGGCCGCCCTGCCTGGGTGGATGATGGAGACCATGATGATGCCCACGATGACTGCCACGAAGGTGGTCCATAGGTAGTATGCCACAGTGAGGATGCCCAGGCGGCTGGAGGTCTTGGCATCCAGAGAGGCGAGGCCGGATATCAAGCTGGGAGGGCGACGTGGGTCACTGTCTGTAGGTGGGGCAGGCCCTGGGCACCCCCACGCTTGCTGCCCCCCACCCAGGCTCTGCCCAGCACCCTCACAGTGCTCTAGGGAACGTGCAGGCATGGGAACCCCTTTCACCCCCAGTAATCTAATCCGCATGCCTCCTTCTCTCCTCTTCTCTGTTCTGCTCTCTCCCCCATGCCCAGGGCCACCAGCCAAGCCCTTTCCCACCTCTAGGCCTTTCCATGTGCTGTTGCCTTTGCTTCACATCCTCTGATCAGCTTCTTTCACGTGCCCAACTCCTACACCTTAGGTAAGACTAAGCTCGGTGTCACCTCTTTGGTAAAACCTTTTTGGACTACCTGCAGCTCCCCCAGAGTGAGGAGCCTATTGGGGTTCCCATAGGCCCCGGCCTCCTTAGTCTGACCTTGTGGTCACTGTCATGTTTACCTGTCTGTCTCTCTTATCAGACTGAAGCCATGGGAGAAGAAGGACAGATCTGACTTCTCTGTGTGTCCCCAGTGCCCAGCATGAGCTCTCAGTGCTGCCACCAAGTAGGTAGTTATTGCAGCCTTGCCAAATAAACTGATGAATGAGTGAGGGAATGAATGAGTTAGAGCCCTGGACTGGGAGTTGGTGACCTGGGTCCTAGTCCTTGCTCTGCTCATTGGCAAGCAAGTCACATCCCCATCCTTGGGCCCCAGGATGCCCATCTATAAAATCAGGCCATGGTTAGATTTTCCCTAAGAGGTGCAGCCCTTTGGCCATCTTGGGTTAGTGCCCAGGCCCAGGCTCCGCTCGTGGGAGGCTGTGTGGAGGGGGCTTGTGGGTCTCTCTCTTCTTGGGTCTTCCTGACCCCTGCCCACCCTGACCTGGACTCTGCCCACCGAGCAGGTCAACCTGGAGCTACTCTTCTCATGGCTGTGGGAGGCGGAGGTGGGGGGTTGCGGGGGAAGGCCGGGCGGGAAGTGAGATTAGTTAAGGAGATGCTCACACAGTTGCTTTGCTGCCAAAAGGATTTTCCCCCAAGCCCTTTCATTTTTTCAGATAAAGGAAGTATTTGTCTGGTTTTAATCATGTAAACAAGAATGGATAATCCCTCCCCTTTCATGCTCCTCCTACCATTAGGCTTTGTGCAGGCAGCATCAGGTTGAGCACAACTAGCCTCTCCCCTACCCTGTAACTGCTGCCTGTGAGCACCCTACTCTTCCTGCTCGCTGTAGCAAAGGCTCACTCTTCTGTGAAGACACAGCTTAAGAGTGTCCTTCTCCAGGATACCTTCCCTGACTACCGGGCGGGGTGAAAGCCCCTTTTTGGGCTCCCAGAACTCCGGTCCTGCCCCTCATCCCAGGCCCACCTTACTAGGTTGCTGACTGTTTCCTGGAAGTGCCTCTGGGGCTGGGCCTGGGTCTGGTTCAATGCTGGGCTCGCAAAGCCAGGCACAGGACCCTGATAGGATACAGCTTGGCAGTAGCTTGCTGAATCAAGGAGAGCGTGAATCAATGAACAAATCAATGTTTACAATTTCTGTTCATTTCTATTTGCCAAGATACCTTAGCGATGGGCCTAGGGTAGGTCTCAGACATAAATCCTAAAGGGCTTATAATGAGATTGTGTGACCAGGGAAAATGGGGGGCTTCTCTGCAATCATCATCCATGGGAGAGATTACCCGCAGACCAGGCCCAGCCCATCATCCCAGGACCCACTGTCCCCGGGCCACCAACCCCCACAGCGAGGTCCGACTACTTCTGGCCGCAGGGAAGCCATGGCCCTCAGAGAGGAGGACCTGTCCCAGGTTGCGCAAAACACGGGTGGCCAACTGGACCAGAACTCAGACCCCAACTCCAGGCCTGTCCTCCTTCATTCATGCCCACTCTATGCCGTGCCCTGTGCTCACAGAAAGAAATCGGAATCCGTCCCTGAACTCAAGTAGCTCCTGATCTGTTAGGTGGGTAGGGAAGGAGACAGACACAGACACTAGGACACAAGTAGACTCAAGTAACCCGTGGACAAGGTGGACGGTTGCATCAGTACCATAAGGGAGAGGACAAGGATGTGCTATCTTTATGCAGAGGAGGGAAGGGTTACTCCTAGCTTGGAGAGTTATGAGGGGCTTCCTGGAGGAGGAGGCATTTGAGTTGGTTCTTGGAGGATGAGGAGGATTTAGAGATGGGGCAGATGTGCCAGGCAGTGGACTGCAGAAGCCAACAGGGAGGCTGAGAGGATGGCAGATACGGGAACACTCTAATGTTTAATGTAGTCAGAGCTCTGGTCACATTTGAGGCCTGGTGATATGTGAAGTAGAAAAGATAGACCAAGCTCAGGAGTGTGGTGGCCATGAGTGCCAGGCCCAGGGAGCCACGGGAGAGAGGAGTTCAGCGCAACTCACCTAGCAGAGTTTGCTGGATGCCTGAGAAGGGAGAACTAAGAATTTCTTAGATGCGAGAATATCAAAGTAAACAAAGAGTGCCAGGATGATCGCTAGTACAGTATTTCTAAGAGCAAAATCCTGGTTCAGCTTAAGAGACCGTGATATCATTAGATGAAAAGTACTGGCATATTCATGCCATGGATTTCTAAGCAGCCAGTAGAAGTGACGGCATCATGAGAAAGACGTTCCTATTGGATGCCAGGTGGAGAAAGCAAGGTACAAGGTAGTGACAGTTCTGTCGGGAGCCCTGCAGCTCCGGCCAGGGAGACCCCTCTCCAGGTTTCCGGTCCAGACAGATATATAGGCGCGCTTGAGGGATTGTGCAGGAGATGGTGCCGGTAACAATCAGATTTCAGAAAGGAGCCAAAGGTCCTCCTGAGGAAGAAGAGGTCTAACATGGGGTGGTGCCAAGTCAGTGACAGACATGGATGAGGGATGGGAGGGAGTGTGGATTCTAGATATAGCAAGAAGGGGCCCCTGGCCCAGGAGCTCTGGAAAGGAGAGGGCTGATGGATAAAATAGAAAGAATTCCACCACCTGGGACCCAGGCAATTCCGCTCTGGAACCTCCCTCCCTCCCCACCAAATGGAAAGGTTTCCCTACTGGCTGAAGAGAGAGGAGATCAGCGGAGATGGGAGCGGTCGGGGAGGGAATTTCTGGCAATAGCTGACGGAGCAGCCTCTCCCCTCCGCAGGCTGGTGCCCACTCCAGAACTCAGTAAGAAGGGTGTTCCCAGGTCCTGCCATTAGCTGATGGGGACTCCTCGAGGTCCCAGACATTTGGGCTAAACTGTTAAAAGTGACTTTTCTGAGAACCTAAATCCGGGTAGGCTAGTTTGCGGGAAATATGAGGTCATACGGACGTGCATAGGAAAAAAAGCTCTAGAAAGTTTAATAGTAGCTGTTTTGGGGTGGTGGAATTATGGGTAATTTTTGTTTTGTTTTTAACATTTTCCCACATTCTCCATTATTTCTAGAATGAGCATGACTTGCTTGTATGATGGAAAACACAAGCCCTTGAGTAGCCGGCAGCCACAGAAACCAAAATTTGTCTGGAGCTTAGCTGTTCTCAAACACTGAAACACCCACCTAACTCGATCCTTAATGTTCTAAGTCAGCATTGCCCTATACAGTTACATGAGCCACATTTGTAATTTTAAATCTTCTAGTAGTCAAATTAAAAAAAGAAACAGGTGAAATTCCTTTTTTTGGTGAAGTTAATTTTAAGAATACTTTAAGCCGGGATATCCAAAATATTATCATTTCAATGTGAAATCAATCTAAAAATGTCTATTAAAATGTTTGTAAAACTAAGTCAGGCTTTAAAATTTTAATTTAAATTAATTTTTTAAAAAGTTCATTTCCTCAGTACTAGCCACGTTTCGAGGGTTTCATAGTTATTTATGGCTGTTGACTATGTTATTGGACTGTGGAGTTTGAGTTGCAGATAAGGAAAATAAAGCTCAGCAGGTAGAAATAATTAGCCGAGCCACCCACCTGGTAAGCTGTAGGGTCAAAACTGAAACAGGGTTTCCACTTCAGAACCCCGCCGCGGGTTTCCCCACCCCCACAGTGCCTCTCTGTGGTAGAGTTGGTTTAACTCCCGTGGAAGAAGAAGGTCTTCTGGTTTTGGCTGACCATGATCTTAAATACGACTTAGTCCATGTAATGCGTTTTTAGTTCACCTCTCAGAATTCGTGACCTCTCCCATGCGACAGCCCTCAGGTTTGTGGTGGTGAGCTCCCGACCTTTGGAGATATCCAAGTGGAGCCTGAATGGCCCCCTGTTGGGGTGCTAGATCAAGGCTTCTAGATTGAGTGGGTGGTTCCATGAGGATAACCTCAAATGTCCCTTCTGGCTCTGTGGTTTATGGCAAGGAAAGAATAGATAATCTTGCTTCCTTTACTCCCAGCATGGCTAGGTGCTCCTGGGACCTGAGGAAGAGCCTCAGGAAGCCCAGAGGTCTGGGCTCCCTCCCAAGCCATCTGGCCACCACCCAGAGTCCAGAGATAGGGGTTCAAGAGATTGTGGTTATTGAAAAGCTGGCTGGGTTCCAGGGCGCAGCCTGTTTCAATCTGGTAATGGCTCCACTTGCAGGGGTGGGGGCAGGGAGGCCGCAGCTGGCGGGCTCCTCAGGGAGGGAGAAAAGGCTGTTTACTGACTCACACCTGGTTCTCACACCAACCCCTGAAGAGGGTATTGTGACCCCGTCTAACACCTGGAGGCGCCCTCTCCTTGCACACCTCACTTCGGCGGGCAGACAGGCTACTCAGACTGCTGGGGGGGCCTCCCGGTTTGAAGTCCTCAGGACCTGTCTATACTCCTTCGTGGCCTTGGGTCACGCGCCTCCTCCTCACTGTCCCGGCCACCCTAGTTTTTCTACTACTCCTGGACCCACCTTTGTACTGGCTGGTCCTTCAGCCCGGAATTCTCTCTCCCACTCCGCGCACATGCCTTTTCAAATTTCTATTTTTCCTTTCCAAAATCAGTCTAGACATCACTTCCTCGAGGAAGCCTTCCCTGACAGCCGTCTCACCCTCCTCCCCAGAGTACCCTGTGTTTCCCGTTTG